AGATGATGGGTGTAAAGCCAAAGTCTGCTTGCCCTTGCCAGTGAACAGTTGGAAGCGCCATTTAAGCCTCCTGATGGTACATCTCTACATCTCTTCCTGCCCGTCTCCAGGTGTGGGGCAGGTGGACATGGATGGGGGGAAGCCATGTCTGCCAAGTTTGCTCTGTAGGCTAGAGGTTCCCCACCTGCAGCTCTAGGGTGCAGGACGTGGTCAGGCTGCCCCTCTGTGTCTACAGTGACTAATACCCAGAAGCTCCTTGGCTTTCTTGCTCCTGCTTTCCAGCCTCATCATGAAGGGACAAGCACATTCTTGGATGCCTGGTTAACGTTTATAGCAACCTATGTAAGAAACAAGCAGACTTAGTTTTTGTTGTTTAGTCGTTTAGTCGTGTCCAACTCTTCGTGACCCCATGGACCAGAGCACGCCAGGCACTTCTGTCTTCCACTACTTCCCGCAGTTTGGTCAAACTCATGCTGGTAGCTTCGAGAACACTATCCAGCCATCTTGTCCTCTGTCGTCCCCTTCTCCTTGTGTCCTCCATCTTCCCAACATCAGGGTCTTTTCCAGGGAGTCTTCTCTTCTCATGAGGTGGCCAAAGTACTGGAGCCTCAGCTTCACGATCTGTCCTTCCAGTGAGCACTCAGGGCTGATTTCCTTCAGAATGGAGAGATTTGATCTTCTTGCGGTCCATGGGACTCTCAAGAGTCTCCTCCAGCACCAGAATTCAAAAGCATCAATTCTTCGGCGATCAGTCTTCTTTATGGTCCAGCTTTCATTTCCATACATCACTACTGGGAAAACCATAGCTTTAACTATACAGACCTTTGTTGGCAAGGTGATGTCTCTACATTTTAAGATGCTGTCTAGGTTTGTCATTGCTTTTCTCCCAAGAAGCAGGCTTAGATTAAGGTTGCTCAAAATTCAAAGTAAGTGTTCCACGTGGCCCCAAATCCAAAGAACACTGGTAACGTTCAAAAGGTAATGACTTTGTAGGAGTTATCAGAAAGCTTTGGGCTGTGATGCCCTTTCTGCAGATGCTGACTGATGAAAATGCCCTGAAGAAATAGTTTGGGTTTGTTTGAAATAGACTATGTATATAGATTGAGCACAGTTGGATGTTACCCTTATTCCCCACTCCCCATGTATCCCTTTTTGTCTAGTGCAGGTCTCACGTTTGTTTTTTCTCTACTGTGCATAACCAGAGAAACTGTCTCTTAAAGAAAAATCCCTAAAGAATTCAAGCTAGGGTTATTAGCATTCTTGAGTCCTATTGAAGTATTCAAGTAACATGCAAAGGGGTGGAAAATTGTAGAGGCATGAGAGGCACTTGCACCGCCTAAGTCTGAAGGGGGCTTCTAAGTGCATTCAGATGGATGCATTTAAGATACCTCTGAATGATCAGCTACCCTGATAATAATAGAAGGTGCTTGATCCTGCAGAGGCATCCAATCCTTTGTTTAGCTGAATGCACTTAGAAAGCCCCTTCAAACCTTCCCACTCAATATGGAAATGTCTCCTGTGGGGATGTTGGGGGTGGAGCTTACTGCTCTTCCCGTGATCCCTTTGAAGGATTGGAGAGGGCTTTAGGTGGTTTGTTTGTGCCTGTGTTTCAAGACTTACCTTGACGTGAAGACAGTTGGAGAACTGATTCTTCCCACCCTCTCTGCAGGAATGCGAGGAAACAAGAAATCGTCAAAGCATACCGAAAGCTAGCAATGCAGTGGCACCCAGATAATTTCCAGGACGAGGAAGAGAAGAAGAAAGCAGAGAAGAAGTTTATTGATATTGCAGCTGCCAAAGAAGTCCTCACTGATCCAGGTATGTGGGCTTGCAGCTTGTTTTGGGACTTGTTCGTTCTCAAAACGATAGAACCCACGCAGCCAACATGTTTTGCTTTTCATCTCTATTTGAAAAGCAGGAGTTCTCTTCATTGCGGACGCGTAGCCAATGCCGCCGTGTCCAGGCCCCAACTAGCACAATGCTGATGGATTCTGGCAGCTGGCATGTGGATGGTATCAGGCTGGCTACCTCGGGTTTCTTAATCACTCCACTTGTGAAAAATGCTGATTACCTGACATTTAGGGCCAACTGGGGTGGAAGGCATGCCATGGCTATCCACCCATTGAAATTCTAGTGGTCTACCATGTTTATGAAATATCCTAGAGCCCAGTTGGATGATGTGTCCAGTTCTACAGACCTCATTGCCACGTGTGTGTCTTTTCAGAGATGCGGAGGAAGTTTGACGCAGGGGAAGATCCGCTGGATGCAGAAAGCCAGCAAGGCGGAGGAAACCACTTCCACAGAGGCTGGAATACGTGGCAAGGGTTTGACCCGTTCAGTTCCGGAGGACCTTTTAAATTTAAATTCCACTTCAATTAGAAACAACCCCACCGCTTCCCTTTTTTCCCCCCTAGGACTCTCTAGACAATTTCAGTTAGAAGTTTCGATCGTTGAACTTAAATAAATGCCAGGTTTTCATTGATAGGCTAAAGAGTAAGCAAGTCCACAATGGAGAGCGAAACAACAGTTATGTTAGTGCTGGTTATTTTTGTACTTTTGGGTGTTAGATCTCTAAAGAGGTGGAAGGCTGCAGAAGTCTTTGGACCACTTCTTCTGAAGTGGGTTGAGACACATTAACACCAGAGAAGCAATTGTTTCCCCAAAGCACTTTAATTTTTCTTCTTTTTTACTAAACTCTTCATGACCTTTGGAACGCGATGGGATACTTTGCTTTTCTCACTGTAGCGTCGAGAAAGCATAATCTAGTTTTCATTTCTACTAAGAGGAAAAGTTTGTTTTCTTGGGAGACATCGGAGGAGCTTCTCCATCACTTCTGCATGCTGTTGGCACCTCTGAGGCACTCTGTAAACATAGCTCAGGTTATGACAAAGCCTGCCTCTTCAAAGCAGGGTATGGATTGGCCTGAGTATAGATAGTATAACTGTCCCCATACTACTTTTTAGGAGGATTTTATGCAACATGCAAGTCCTCTAAAAAGCCACTCTAGTGCTTAAGATAATTCCCCAGAGAAGCATCATCACTAGGACTCTTTACTTATCCAATATAGGACGACTGCAGCTGGCTTGTGGGCTTTTTCTAACTTATTTTTACAAGGGCAATTTTCTCGTTTGGATTAAAACCTCTTTTCTTTTTATGGTTGCTTCAGAAAGATACTTAAATAGAATGATATTCTTAGTTGGTGTTAATTAAATAGATCCATTTTGAGCTTTTCACTCAACATATGCTTGACATTTGAGCAGAACGACTGAGACATTGCCCCAAATGTGCAGAACTAGTTCTGATCTTAGATTATTATTTTTTCTTAAAAAGGAAAAACGGAAAGAGATGTGTAGTGTAAGGAAACTGTCAAGATGACAGTGTTGGGATGAGGATATCAACAGTGTTTTACAATTTGATGAAAATGTGACCCCTCCAAATGGCAGTTTTTAGTGCTTCGTTGCCTTAACTAATGCATATAACCAAGAAGCGTTTGGGGTACATAAGTTATATAGGAAGAAGGCACTGTTTCATTCTGTTAAGTCACTGAGCTACTTGATGTCATAGGAAACCAAAGCTGGCTTCCATCTTAGCTTTGCTGCTGGAACTGGGACACTTCTGATAGCCTTAAATTTAGCATTACTCTGGTTCTTGTGAAATGCATTCAAAACAGCATTTAGAGTCCTTTCATAATGAGATGATGGACCTGCAAAAGTGGCTTTCAAAAAAATCTGGCCTCCAGAAGGCAATTTTTGAGCATTAAGAAATGACTATAGTGCATTTTGGGCTCAGAGCAGCCTAGTTAAATATTTCACCACCTTCTCACTCCAGCTCTCAAGTCAGAAGTTCAAGAGTAACTCTGCTAATGTTGTCGTCTACAGTACTACTGGTATTCAATAATCCACAAACCCCTAACCAGTTCTTGCAAGTGAGAGCTATGCATGGAGTAAGTTCTGCATATATTCTCTTTTGCTAGATTTGCTGTTACCAAGCCATGTCAATTGTGGAGTACAATTATGTCCAGTTTGGGTCAAGCGCATTCTCTTTCACACATCCCAAAACAGCAGAGAAGTATTGAATGGTTGAAGTGCTCCTATGGCTTCTTAATTTATAACGTTTTCTGGCATAGGACAGATATTTGGAATTGTGAGCACATGCATCTGAACTGCACATCAGATCTTGCTCTCAGTAATCTTCCTAAGTAACGTAACCAGTGCCAACCTAATGCTTTTCCTGCGTCCAAGGGAAGTATGTCAAAAGTGTGGCCAAAGGCAGCTCTTATGCATTTATGCTGAACAGTAATTTAAATAATTCCTTTTTTAGGCCTATTGTATGAAATGGGGGAGGGCTCCTGAGAGGCCCTTGCTTTTATCTGTGTGTATTTCAGTTGTTTTGGGCTATTCTTGGGTTTTTCGAGAGCTACTAGCTTTGCTCTTGGGTGAAGTGCAATTAGGGCCTGCAAATTAGAGTGAACAAGAGTACCTCAGTGCAGGATTTATAGTGAAAAAAGACCAGCCAGTATCAGTTAACATATATACCATTGCAGTGTGGGTGCACTTTGGAAATGTCTTGGAATAAAGCTCTATTTTTAAAAAACATTATGAAAGCCAAGAAGGTGTTTTGAAGATAAAGATGCAAACTATTCAAGAAAGATTTTGATTAAAGCTGTGTCTAAATTACATCTGTTTCAAGCTGCCATCTTTTTTTATGAAGTGAGATTATACAAAGGTAAATAATTGTGCCATAGTTTTACAATAACCAGAGGAGACAACACTGTAGAATGTTGCTTTTTAACCACTGTCTCACGTATCGGATAATACTGATAATAGAAGCAGGCCGGTCCCTGCGAAAGAAATCTCTACAGCAACAGCTCCATCTCCCTTGCATTTATTTCATGGAGGACTTACAGCTCCTGCTCTGTCTCAGCTTCTCCTCTACAGTTTCTCTGATGTGAAATCAAAATGATGCACAGCAGGAGAGAAGTAAATTTTACTGCACAAAGTGGGAATAGCTTGATTTTTATTTTATGTTAAATTCTTATTGTACCATTTGGAGATGGCAGTCCATTGTGTTGTTGTAACATCTAGTTCCAGCCTGATACATCATTTTATACCAGAGAGATAGGAAGTAAAAGACATGGATTAGTTTGGTTTACCGTCACAAAAACTCATAAAATTAAAGATCAGGAGGATCCAGGAAACCATATGCCCATCAATAATAATAATAATTTATTATTTATACCCCAGCCACTGGATGGCTCCCAACAGAATATTAAAAACACAATAGAACCTCAAACATTAAAAACTTCCCTAAGCAGGGCTGTCTTCAGATGTCAGTGGTAACAAGGCTGATATTGTAAAAGACAAAGCAACATAAGACTGAGGAAGAAAGAGTGATTGCAAAAGAGACACCTTGCTAATCTATACAAAGAGAGGCATTTTAGAGAAGGGGTAGAGAAATCTGAGTGTATCAGCAAAGACTCTCAAAACAGTCACAAAAAGTGTTGTGGAAGCAGGAAAAGGTTTATCAACTGGAATCTGGTGCAGCTGAACGAGGGTCTTACAAAGATTTTGGTTTTTATAGATGAAACTGAGACGGGAAATTATTATTAAATTTATATCTTACCCTTCCTCCTAAAGCAACCCAGGGCAGCAAACAGAACAATGGCCATGTTTGCCCCAGGTTGGCAGAGCAGGTAGACAAATATTTTTGGGCCCAGCAGCAGTTAAGAACATAATAATAATATATTATTTATACCCCACCCATCTGGCTGGGTCTGCCCAGCCACTCTAGGCATCTAGACTATCTGGGAGAACCAAAAAGGAAACTTAGGCAGGTAGATTGAAAAGAAGGTTAAAAGTATATGGGGGTGCAGAAGCAAGTATCCATTAGTTCCAGTATTTCCTCTGGGGTCTAAGCCAAATGCTTTTAGAAGTCACTTTTAGAAGTGATTATCAACTTTTAAGTTTGCAGGCCGGAACTAGATGTCAGTGGATTTGTGTCTGCAAAGGAAGTCCTTCATTTAGTAACATCAGAGGTAGTTGCAGTTTGCTTGACCCACACCACTTAAGTGGCTGCTCTTGATGAGACTCCCACTTTGTTTCCCTGGCAGCAGCTACTGATCTTACGCAGCATCTCTTTCAGAGCCCAGCGGGAATATTGAGGTTTAGCAAGTGCCAAGACGGTTCAGTCCTTGCTGAGCTGGCGAGCTGAACCCTCCAAAATCCAGCACTTTCTCCACGGAATAGAACCCAACTGATTTCTTGCACCAGGAGAGTAAAGTTCAGTGAAAGTGACATCAGACACGACAAAGAGGCACGCAGACACGTCATACAGAAAAAGCAATGCAACTTCAAGTATTGTCTCAGATCAGCCTCCTTGGAAGCTTCTGCAGAAAGATGGAATATAGCTTTAAAAAGAAAAGTATGTGATGGGGGTGTTTGTTTGTTTACTACAGACAGACACTTTAAAATTATTACATGAGATCTCCAACAAAATATTTGTGTAATGTGAAACAAAAGCAGTGTGTGAATGTAGCACCAGAATTTGTAATGCCTTTGGAAACGAAAGAAGTGGAAAGGCAATCGGACTGAATGACAAACTGCACAGCCCACACTTTACTAGGTTTCCTTTCCACTCTGTTATTCCGTTCCAAGTCCCAATAAAATGCCAGAAGTTTTTATTTAAAAATATAGAGCATCTCTGTAGTATTTACATACATCCACAAAAACTACCACTAACCCCCAGTCTATGGCCAGTAGCTGTGTCATCAGGACACTCTTCAAATAGTGCTAAAGTTCATCATGGCTGGAATCTATAAATGAAAAACAAAAAAATAATAATAATTTGAGTACACAGAATAACTGCAAGATCACACAAGAACTGAATAAAGCCGAGACATTCTTCGTGCCATTTTCTCATCACCGTTAGAATCACAATTAATTTACTTAGCCATAATCTCTTGTCCAAGTTGGTGGTTCTATTGCAAGCTGGTTCCTTCACATAGGAAACAAGACAACCAGAAGTTACTCCAGAGCTTGCTGTTCTACTTCTGGAACTAACTCACAATAAGGGCCACAGACAGTTATACAGGGGCTTGGACAATCTCTGGATTTTATTAGGCAGTAATGTTCATTCCAGAAAAGAAAAGAGCAAACAGCTCAAATTCTAATATCAGATAACTTGGACTGTATTGGAACATTATAGGAAAGCGAGAACACTCTTTTGGCATTCTCTATTTGCATATGCAAACACACAGGGCCTGGGGAGGGTGCAGCACACCCTTGTTGCCAGTTTGATTGCCATCCACGAGTTGGAGGGTAATTTTCTGAAACAATGATCTCTCTGAACTCATGAGGCCTCTCTACGGGTTTCAATAAAGGCATCCTTGCATGGTTCTGAGCAGAGGCGGAGCTAGCTGCTCTGGCACCTGGGGGCGGGGCTAGCGTCCCAGGGGAGCAGTGGGCGATGTCATCCCCATCAGGTATGATGCCCAGGGCAGACTGCACCCCCAGCACCCTCCCTTCCTCTGCCAGTGGTTCTGAGGACCCTAGCGTTGCAAATTCGCCAGTCCTGATAGGCAATTAAATGTTGGAACTTACTGCTTATCACCCCCTTCCCCCTGCCAAAGGTCTTTAATGAGCAAATGTTTCTATATCTCACCTTTTTGTTGAGACTGACTCATGGTTTTCTTCTCCTTTTTTATTTGATTTATAAGCTGCTGTATTTCAGAATCATACTCTGTCCATTCAGGAACTATCCTGACAGCAGCCTCTAGTTTGGGTTCTTTGGTTTTCGGATTGTTACACTGAAATACAAATAGTACAAACAGATTATGGGTCTGTTATTGTGGTCCGGAAGTGTCACCTGGCACAGTCCTCCTACAGCTATCACTTTAGAATGGAGGAAACCCTGGGGATAAGTCACAAATAAAGGCAGAGACGACATAGCAGGGAAGCAAATCTGTTTCCCAGGTTTCAGTGTTGTCCCACTTCCCGTATCTGTTTTCCATATGGGACTCACATTAAGGCCTAAAATACACACCATTCTGGTTCCATAGCAGAATTAGAAATCGTAGCTGTGCTGACACATCAGCAGCCATACAAATTATGTTGGCAAAAAAATCCACGTATTAATACATTTCTGGAGAACAGCATGCCATGCTTTTCAATCACTGCTCTTTAGGCAGCCTGCACATCTGGATAGCATTCTTTTTTATAAACAGAACCATCTGTCACCAGCCCCCCAGGAGCCCTCAGTCCCACCATTCATCTTTTTTTAAAAACACTGCCTCATTCCAAACAAGCTCTTCTGTCAACTTCACCAAAAGCACAAGAATGTGAATCTGATAGGGAGTCCACAGCAGACAATCTGATTCTTAAAGATGGAGATCTGATGAACAGATATAAAATCGGATAGCAATGCTCTTCTTGAAAGACATTCACACCTGTATAAAGGTGATCGACTGGAAAAGTCAAGAAAGTGTTGCTATGCAATTTTCCCTTCCTGAGACACCTTGGGTGGTAGTCACGGGTTGTATCTTGCAGATTAAACACATGTAAAGTTCAGCTGCTCAATTTTAAAAGGTAAAGGTACCCTGGATGGTTAAGTCCAGTCAAAGGTGACTGGGGTTGCAGTGCTCATATTGCTTCAGGCCGAGGGAGTTGGCGTTTGTCCACAGACAGCTTTCCAGGTCATGTGGCCAGCATGACTAAACTGCTTCTGGTATAATGGGACACCGTGACGGAAGCCAGAGCACACGGAAACGCCGTTTACCTTCACACCGCAGTGGTACCTATTTATCTACTTGCACTGGCTTGCTTTCGAACTGCTAGGTTGACAGGAGCTGGGACGGAGCAGTGGGAGCTCACCCCGTTGCGGGGATTCAAACTGCCAACCTTCCGATTGGCAAGCCCAAGAGGCTCAGTGGTTTAGACCACTGCACCAATGGAGGAAGGGCATGGAATGAGTACATGTGCTCAGTACCTCCTCCTGATGTTACCATAGGGTGGATTGCAGCGTGCATTGAAGAAATGCCTCATTATCCAACAGTTTACAGCAGGACTGCCTTCAAGACACCACGCAACAGTATTCTCCTTTAGGATGGATAAAATGTTCACTATGAATGTGTATTGGGGGAGAGGGGAATTATTATAAAGTAGCTCACCAGATCAATGGTTTTAGCCTTTTTCTTGGATTCATCGCTGCACCAAGTTTCACACCACAGCCACTCTTGAGGAAGAGATTTAATGGACACCTGATGAATCATGTTATTTGGAAGATCCTGAAAAAAACACACGTCACCAGTTAACATTGCTGCTGAAGTTCCAAGATACAACCTGAATATTGTGAATAGTAAAATGTTACACACAGTAGCTAAACAGCACTAGGCCATGCTAAAAGCAAAGGGGTGTGTTTTCTTTCCTTGACACTGCTACTGTCACTGTAGCAAGAGCAAGCAAGACAATAGTTTTGTGACATACATACACCACTAGTTGCAGCATACCTGATCTAGGTTGGATAAACTGCCTGGATCCTTACTAAGGGCTTGGTATTGACCTCTAAGTCTGTCTCCTGCAGCAATCTTCCGGAACCTCTTCAGATCCACAACATACAAAGCACTATAAAAACGACAAGTTTCAGAGCAATGTATTAAGGTCACATTTCTTTGTATCCAAAAGAAGGGTAAACATGAGGCCAGAATAAGGTCTCAACACATAAAAAGAACCCATAGAGGTTCCATGCTTTGTCTATATGTACTTCAGGGTATCCTGCTTAGTGAAATATTCAATAGAGAACTTTGGCATAAAAAATGTTTTAACTAATTTCTACATACAATAAAAAGGAGGGTGCAGAGAAGAGAGATTGGGTTGTTTAGTTTTCCTACCTAATGTGGTACTTCCTTTTTCCAAGATGTGAAGCCCAATAGCCTGACTTCCAGAAACGGTAGCCATCCATTTCTGGACGGCTATCACAGAAGGGAGTATAGCCATAGGGTGCTCCTTTCAAATCTATATCTCGGAGTTCTTTCAAGTCGCTTCTTACAATCTAAACAGTAGGAGAAAGAGAGAGGATGATGTAACACCTACACTCTATATGACATCATGGAATGCATGGCCAATTAAAGGTTGGAAGCAGAATTCCTGGAAAGAGACTTTTTTACCTGATCAGCATCAACAAATATTATTTTGTCCACAGCCAACGGGAAGAGAACATCCAGAAAAAGAATTTTGTAACCCCAGATGATTCTTTGCTTTTCTGCCTGTTGATGAAGCCAGTGGGGCCATTTGTACTGCACAAGTTCATACTGGAATCCGTATTTGTTTGCCATGTGAGGGATAACTTTCTACAAGATAAAAAGACAGAAAGAAAGTTGCACACACACTGTTGCCAAAGAAACTTGTCAAGGTCACATGGGAAACTTGAGGCAAGCACTACTTCCAAGACAATTCCCAGCTTCACATTTTCCCTGGGGATGTCTAAATCAAGGATGGCCTACTTCTTAGCAGCCATTCCATCCCAGACACCAGTCAGAGAACAATCCAACCCCCATTCAGATGGTCAACATCTTGTGATAAACTTGGCAATCTCCTAACAGTACATGCTTCCCAAGTATGGTACACATGTCCTCAGATTTGCCTGGATGTGAGGTTTGAGTAAAAAACACTGTGGAATTGCAGGTGGAAAGTCAATTTATGAAACAATGCAACTGTTTGACATGAAGATTATTGTAAAAAATGTTTGAAAAAATTAACAGAGCAGAATTAATGTGCTTCCTGAAATATGACTAGTGTTTGGGAAATTATATATAATGAAATGAAAAGGATGTTTAAAATAACCGTTGTAAAAAAAAACAACCCAGAAGCTTTTCTTTTGGGAATTATAGGGACAGAACTAGCTAAATGTATAGAAATTTATTTATGTATGCTACTACAGTGGCAAGAATGTTACTTGCCCCAAAATGGAAAGAAGCAGAAGTCCCAGCAAAGGAAGAACGGATGCAAAAACTTATGGAATATGCAGAAATGGTAAAACTTACCAGAAGAAGAAGAAATCAAAATAACATTTTTTATATATATAAAAGAATACAGATAAATTATAAACAGATAAAAACACTGGCAGGATTATTGTAATAACCTGCAGTTTCATAAGAGTATATATTTAAAAGAGATGAATAAATGAGCAAATTAAGTTAATTTGGATATGCAGAAGATATTAAAAACAAATTTATGGAACTGCAGAAAGAGGGGAAAGGAAGTTTTGAAATGTCAAAATAATTGTAAAATTAGTGAAATGTATAAAATTAGTGAAATGTATAAACTTGAAAAGTACAAAATAGAAATACATAAAACCTTTTTTTAAAAAAAAAAAAAAGCCTAGTGTTAACTGCACTTAGCTATGATGTTGATGTACCCCTTAACTGTGACCGAAGGGAACATTTGTGATCCCACGGCTCAATCTTAAACTGCAGTTCAGGCATTGGCATATTATGTAATAAGTGGCCCTGATCCATCCTTTCCTGCTCTACAGTTAAGAATCATAGAAGAACCAGATCTTATTAGCTGCAATGAGACACTTTCAAGTTACCAAACCTTTTGTGAAATAAAATTGCTCAGAACTGGATTTTACTCAAGAGTTTTAAAAGTTACAAATTGACCTGACAGAATTGAAAGCACAGACAATGATGATGAATGTCTCTCTCAAAGGCCATCTAGACAAAGGTCACATTTTAAAGTTGAAAAATGCATGCTGATGTTACTATATATAAGTTCTGATTTGTGATCTCAAAATACTGACATCTTTCTGCTAACAAGAGTCTGCTATTATTTTCATGGCTCGCAAAAGTTTTTAATTAACAGGGAGATAAGTGTACTTACTTTAAATGTTGGTGACAGATAATTTTTCAGAAACCAAAATTTAACCGGTGTCTTGGTGTGGCGCAGAACTGAGAGCATCATTATTCTGGAGAGGGGAAAAAATCTCATTGGTTAACATATTAGCGTATGCACAGCAAAACATTGCAACAGAGATGCCGGAAGGTAACATTATATTTGAGATCTTTACAACTGGAAATAAAAAATCCAGTAACAAGCCTCTTAAACTACACATGTCTTGCTTATACTGCTCATGCAACCTGCCCCCAGCACTCAAAAGCTCCATGTTAAATACTTCACTCCACTTTCAAAGTTAAAATACCGGGGAAAAACACAATCCTATCCTAAAATACAACACCGAAAAGAATCAGTTACCTTAAAAACCGTTCGTACAAATGGCCGGAAGCAACAGAAAAGATATTTAACATGTCCATTTTCTTTTCGTTTTCTGCTTTTTGAGTCCCTCCTGTAGAACTTCAAAAAGAGCATTATTCAGCTGGCATTTAAGAGTGAACATCAAGATAAAAGAAGAAGAAAAAGGAGGAAGGCACAAGAGCCCAGAAAAGTCTGCAGAACACTGTTTTACTGCCCCAAGACATGGCCCTTCTCAGTTGTGTTGCCCAAACCGTGCAATACTATCGCCAGGGGAGGACTCGGCTGCTGCTGAATTTAACATATTTTCAGTAACATGTGAACAAAATTATTATTTGTCCAAGACTTTTTAATTTTATTGAATATGTTTTTATCCCTTCTTTCCTCCAAGGCACCCTCACAAAAAAAACCATGTGAAGTAGGTTAGGCTGAGAGGTTGTGACTGCCCAAGGCCACTCAGTGAAGCTCATGGCCAAGTGGCGATTTGAACCTCGTTCTCCTGCCCCAACTCTAACCACCTCTAGCACCTTGGCTCTCTTTTGAAATCTTCACATTTTAAAACTGTTCTTTCTTTCCTGGTCTGGCTGGAAGTAATACACTCTGGCTGCTCTGCTCATTTTAATGTCCCTGTGTTATCATTCTGCCCATTCAAAAATCTTTGCTACTTGTTCTGGGAGCCTGAAGAATGGAGTAATAAATGTCCACAGTGAAGAAACTTTCTGCATCAGTTGCTCCTAATAAAATTGATATTGTACTATGCATTGCTGCTTTTGAAGATATGCATGATCAACAAAACTGCCTGTGTTTCTGGACTTTTCCTGGGAGGGGGGCAATGGCTACGGGGACCATCATGGTAAATTTCAGCACTGCAAAATGCAACACTACACTGCTGTACATAAAATAAGGTTTAACATCTTCATTGAGGAAGGCTCAGTTTCTTCTAAGTAAACAGCCTTCAATTCCCCAAAAAGGAAAATCAAATGTGCTGGTTTGCCCGAATGCAAACAAGCCAGTTTACCTAATCATGAAATCTTCCTCTTCTTCCGCTGCCCCATCACTCAAGAGGCTTTCATGAATTTCATCAGGCTTTTTCTGCACCTACACATGAGAACAAATTGAGTTGTCAGCAGACAGCACCCACCAGGCACCATTACAGTTGGTTTTCAAACACCTCAGTTCTCGAATGTTTTAGCTCCCGAATGCCGCAAACCTGGAAGTGACTGTTCTGGTTTGCGAACATATTTGGAACCCGGATGTCCGATGGGGCTTCCGCAGCTTCTGATTGGCTGCAGGAGCTTCGTGCAGCCAATCAGAAGCTGCACTTTGGTTTCCAAATGTTTTGGATGTCAAATGGACTTCCGGAACGGATTCCGTTCAACTTCCAAGGTACGACTGTACTAAGTTCCATGCCAAACAGAAAAGAAAGAAATGAAACATAAAATTGTTCCCATAAGGTTTTATTAGCATACATACCTGGACTCTGATGATTTTGCTGCTGAAACTATTTAGTACCACAACAACCTCTTCTGAAACTTCAGAAGAATCAGTTCCTTCGTGCCTAGGAGGAGGGAAAAGTTAAGTTATTTTAACTTCAGATTAGAAAAAAAGCACTTCTTTTTTAATCACAACATAAAGAAGTAGAATGTTTTGCTCAGATGAGAATGAAAACTGCCTGTTCACAGCATGGTTTGTACCAGCTTACTAATTTAGGAAGTTTTCCACATTTATATGCTTCCAGCAGAGGCTGCTGGCGGAAGGATAAATTTTGGGGGAAGGTCATATCAATTTAGCAAGCAAGTTGGTTCAACAAAGCATAAATCAATACGGTGCTATTATGCTCAACAGCTGAGTTCCAGAGCTAAAGTCTATCTACTGGAGGCCACCTGGCACGAAAACCCATGCTTGAGCTATCAGTTATCCACAAGCTACAGGCTCAGCGTCTTTAAAAGCTAATTCTTAATGCAAAATATGCAGTTGTACCTTCATTGAATGAATAATCCTAATCACACTGAAAAGCAAAAAGTGGCTATTTGGAGAACTCCTGTTGCCAAGTCTCTGAAGCCTAGTTGCCAATACCAATCTCTCCCCTCGAGTATCTCTGCATGCAAAAGACTGGCTTCTTGCACAAAAGACAACTTACTGATTCAGCCTCAGTAGAGCCCCCGCTCTGCTTAAGGCATTCTTAGAAAAGAAGCCAAAAACTATCTGGTAATCTCTTGCAAATATCTGGGCCCTTCTCAGCAAGCCTTCAGAATGATTCTTCCTAAGGCAAGCATGTCTAGAATATCACCAACAGACACACCGCAAAAGAAGATGTCAAAACCAGCTTTAAGACATTGACTAACAGCCAGAAACACTTCTTACAATAAAGGCAACTTCTCCTGTGGTTGTAATCTATTGGCAATTGTATCCAACGTCACTCTGTTTTAGGAAGCAAGACAAGCTGCAGACCGGACAAACATAAACAGACAGCATTTTGTTTATTTGCTCCCCAGTATGTAGATATTCCAATATGGTTAGTTTACTTAGTTGCCAAACCAAGATTTATAGTTCTGCAGGGGAAAGGAACAGACAAGCATTGCTAACCACTGCACCTGGAATTAATTCATTTTATTTGTATGTGGCTTTTCCACACACACACACAACCATATCCAAAGTAGCTTAAAACATAGTAACATTTCAAGCAAACACTACAAAAACCATTTCAAAGCAAAAACAATAGCATAGTAACAAACTATAATTTTGATTATATCTTTTGTGGTTTTATATTTTGATTTTGTTCTGTGAACCACCCTGAGACTTTCCAGGTATAGGGCAGTATATAAATTCAAACAACTACAACAACATAGCAAAACAAAAACATGCCAAAAAAACCCACATTTCAATACTATAAATATAATAAGATTACAAAAACCATATGCAGCATCCAACAGCAAAAACAACAAATGAATTTCGCCTTAGGCATTGACTGTGTTCAGACATAAAGCTAAACCGTTGCTTGGAACAAGGGTGGGAAACTTTCTTTTTCTGTTGAGGGTTGTGTTCCCAAGGGGGTCATCTGCCAGAAGCAATTCGCTACTGCTGGGCAGGGCTAACACCAAAAGTGGGCAGGGTCATCTCCACCTTTCCTCCCTGATCAGCAGGCTGCTTGGGGCCAGGGAACCAATTGCCCTTGTCAGAGGTCTGAACTGATCACTTGCTGAGGGTTCCCCCCCTCTCCTTCCACTACTCCATCTGTTTGCTGTCCCCTCCCATTTCCCCCACTCCTTTTTCTGGCTCCAGGATTTGCACAACCATAGGAAATTAGGCAGTTGTCCACCAAACATTTAGCGACAGCATGGAAGGAACAAGCTGCAGCAAACCAATGGGCTCACACACTCATTCAGTGCAGCTATGATGAAGAATTCATAACTGTTCACTTGCCATTTTCATTAACCACATTTTAGTGTGTTCTCTGAACCCTGAACTACGGTCAGTGTTAACGGTTTGTAGATGGCTTGTTTCATGCAAGACATAGTTAGTCTTAACTACAGTTTGCCCACCTATGCCCCTATCTGGACAGGGATGGCCAAACTACTGTTGTCTATGCTTTGGTAACCTCGAGGTTAGATTACTGCAATGCGTTATATGTAGGGCTGCCTCTGAAGACCGTTCAGAAACTTTAGCTGGTGCAGAATTCAGCAGCCAGGTTGCTCACTGGAGCAAAACCCTCTGAGCATATTACACCGATCCTGGTCTGACTGCACTGGCTATCAATTAGTTTCCTGGCCCGATGCAAAGTGCTGGTTTTGACGTATAAAGCCTTAAATGACTCAGGATTGCAATACCTCAAGGACCCTCTCTTTCCATATGGACCTACCCGGACCCTGAGATCATCTTCTGAGGCCCTCCGTGTGCCTCCTCTTTGAGAGGTCTGTAGGGTGGCAACACGAGAACGGGGCCTCCTCTGCAGTGGCTCCCCATCTGCAGAATGCTCTCCCCAGGGAAGTTTGCCTGGCGCCTTCATGATACATCTTTAGGCACCAAGCAAAATCATTCCTTTTTAACCAGGCCTTTGATTGAGGTGATTGACATCCTATGCCCTTTTAGAACGTGGTCTTTTATTTCTTTGGGGTGCGTTATTGGGTTGTTTCTATTTTGATTATATATATTGTTGTTTTATATTTTTATTTTATCCTGTGAACTGCCCTGAGACCTCCAGGTATAGGACGGTATATAAACTCAATCAATCAATAATATAATTTCTTTGTTGAGACAATGGAACAAGCTGTGGTTAAGTAAAAATGGAAACTCCTTCTTGTGGCTATGACAAGGATAGGAGGGAATGCACAAGCCAAAGTTGTGGCTCGTTCTATTGTATCTGTTTACTATATTCCTGTAATACATATATGATGTAGTTCTTGGGTCTCTAATAGATGGAAGTCCCCACAACCTTTAGACATAATGACTCCTTGCCTCACAGCCAGCAATGGGAGAGAATAGAAAGGACTCAAATGTCCAAACGACCTAAGATCCTGGTGTTCCTTCAGTTTAAGCACCCATTTTTATCTTGTTCCTTAGATAGTCAAATGTCAGTGCAAAATGATCAGTGTGACAAACAGCACTGAAGGTAACACCCATGTCATCAGCTGCAGCTGGGGTCCCGGGTTTGGTAACAAAAGGAGACAAAAATACTTCAATTCATGAATTCATATTATTTGTACAGCCTTCAATTTGAGAACAACAATATGGTATCTCCTTCTAAAATCTTACCAATTTTTAAACGTTCAATCATTCATAACACTTAAGAGAGCTGCATTACTTTTGTGGAGGAGCGTTGCTTGATTACTGAGCATCACTGTCAAAGGGTTCGCTTATTTTTAAACATCTTTTAAACAATGGCAGGTTCACTTATTTTAAAAATCCATTAAAAAGCTTGGGGCTGAAGTGAGAGATGAAACACAACACCACCCACGTCTCTTGATTAATGTAATATCAACACATATTTCAGGAAACCTACCCAGCTTTAAGATAAATTGCTCAGAATCTGGATTCCAGAAACCCCAGTTTATTGCTTTATTTTATTTTCCAAGCCAGCATCCTTCATACAATTACCTGAAAGTAAGACCCATTGAACACAGTGGAACTTACTTCTGAGTAGACACATATTTACCGTCTTTCATTATTAGAGCATTTTTATCCTACTCTTCTAGTACAAATGTACAAAACAATAAAAAGCTATCAATAGACAGGGTCAGGATTTAAACAACAATAATAGGGTTGCCATATTTCACAAAGTATAAACCAGGAAACCCCAAAAGTTGTTGATTTTTATTTTTACAAAAGTGCCAATTGACTTGCCTAAGATCCAGGACAATAATAAGGAACAAATTTACATATGTAGGGATATCAATTTAAAGAATGAGCAATTTAATCTCTAAATGTTATTGTAATCACCCCTCAAACACAGAATTCTTTGATAACCATCTACCCTCTCAGCTGAAGCCATTGTTCGAAAGAGTTCTGCTTCTTTTGTCAAATATTCCCCAGACCACCAGCATTTGTGGAGTTCAGCAGCCCAAATGGTGCAGCAGTAGCAAACCTGTCTCTGACCTGCAGGGTTCCTGATCCAAGCCCTGCAGTGCCTGACAGCACTATAAATAGAGAAGCACTGGATTGAACTGCAAATGAATCATAATAATTAGACTGAAATCTTGTCACTTGAGAGATGCCAAATTTAGATCTGGCGTCATCCATAGCTACACTGCATAAGAAATTCTGCTTCACAGGTGCAGCTGCTTCAAAACGACGATCGCCATCATGAATAGTGTCACCGTAAATGTCTAAATAGCAAAGGAGCTTTTTTTTTTTATAAAAAAAAAAGATAATTTCAAGGAGGAGGTTAGTAACCTGAATACCAATGTATTTCTTTTTAAAAAAACAGATTGTTTAGTGCATCCAGAAACCAGCCTACTGTTATGTTTAATTCCAACAAATTCTATCGGATTTAGTGCACTTCTTCGTCAATTGCATGGTGTTTATGCATGTGCTTTAAATAACAAGCCCAAATTCTGTACCAAGAAAAGCTGAACTCTGCAACATAAAATAAACGAGTAAGCAAATCTGCATATGTTTGTTTCTGTTAATTTCCTCCGTTTCTGAAATTATCTTTCCTTATTTAAAAAAGTGAGGATGCTAAGGATGTTAAACTCCCTCTTTATACCCGTTATGGAATTTTTATTCCTGTGATTTTAAACCTTTTTGCAGTAAGACACTGTAGTCATGTAACATTCCTAAGTCTTGTAGCCTGGGACGGTACTGTTAAGACTGCCAAATTCCCAATTCAGATGAAGTGAGAAGAATGTGAATTCTTCCAAAGGCTTCTCTTTGAACCAGGACGGTTTGGTGAACATCATTCCTTCAGAAGATGCAAGGAGCAAAACACCTAGTCAGACTGTGCTGTTGCAAACAGTAGAATGAACAGAGTTGTGTTGATGCCTGAATTTTTCTCTGCAGCAGTTCCAGCGACCGCCACACCATTAGCAAATGTCATGTTATGACTTACCTATATATTTGGTAGATTTCTTCGGATCTTCCTTCACGTAGTCTCAAAATCCAAGCACCTGGATTTGCTTTCAACTGAAAATAACCCTACAAAGGAAAAAAAGAAACAAAATGAAAATATTGCTTTGAAAGCAGGAGGGGAGAGCACTTTCTTTGTAAACAGTGGCTGTGTTCTACAAAGCCTAGCCTGCCCCCAGATTTGCCTGTTCTTCTTCCCTGAGTGTAGTCCAGGAAGCAGAGTTTGGAAGCTCACTTCTGTCTTACTTGGCCTGTAGCCAGTCACATTGTCTAAATCTGACAACCAGCGGTTATAGTTTTTGGAACAAGCCAACTTCAAACTATGGTTGATCAAGCTGGTTTGTTTTAAACAAACCAGTGTTAACATTAATCATGGCCCCTTTATAGAACTGTAAAGATTACTTAGAGCAGGCATGGCCAAACTTGGCCCTCCAGATGTTTTGGGACTACAACTCCCATCATCCCTAGCTAACAGGACCAGTGATCAGGGATGATGGGAATTGTAGTCCCAAAACATCTGGTGGGCCAAGTTTGGCCATGCTGACTTAGAACCTTTGGGAAATTCTACTCATGGCACCACATCCTACATAATATCATGGGATAGTGACCTGAAAACAGAGCATTTTTCTGCTATTGCCCCTGTGTTTGCATGTAGAATGAGTCTGTAGGAACCTCAAGCTCATGAAACCCTTGACTCCTTAAAAGAAATTCTGCTGGTGCAACCACAAACAGAAAATTAGAAGCTTCCATTCCATTTTTTTATTAAACAGTTTAGTGTTGGGTCATAGGATCACAGAATTGTAGAGTTCAAATGGACACCAAGGGTCATCCACTGCAATGGAGGATCTATATCCTAAACCAGGGGTCAGCAAACTTTTTCAGCAGGGGGCCAGCCCACTGTCCCTCAGACCTTGTGGGGGGCTGGACTATATTTTGAAGGGGGGGGAATAAACAAATTCCTATGCCTCACAAATAACCTAGAGATGCATTTTAAATAAAAGCACAAATTCTACTCATGTAAAAACACCAGGCAGGCCCCACAAATAACCCAGAGAGGCATTTTAAATAAAAGGACACATTGTAGTCATGTAAAAGCATGCTGGTTCCTGGACCGTCCGTGGGCCAGATTTAGAAGGCGATTGGGCCGGATCCGGCCCCCGGGCCTTAGTTTGCCTACCCATGTCCTAAACTGTGGTCACACTTAACTATAGCTCACAGAACCATGACATAACAATGTTAGGAAGTTGGCTTGTTTTAATAAACCATAGTTAAGATTAACAGCAGTCTGTTCGTGTTCAGATGCAATACTAAGCTGTAGTAAGTCAAAAGCTGAAGCAAAATCTTCAGCTTGTCTGAAACAGCCATATTGTACCATTATAATTTACCATTTCTGGGCCCAAAAGAATAAAAGAATCAAATAATAATGGGTCAGTTGTGTTTAGGTAGGCAATAATAAGCATTTGGTCAAATAAAGTATTCCCTCACCAGGCTTAGCCAGAACCTACCAGATTGGCCATCACAATGGTATCAACTTTAACAGGATTTTTCCTAGTTCCCAAAGTGAACTGCAGTCCGTGAGTCGGCTGTCTAGTGGCTACATCAAAACAATGTCCTTCAAGCAACAAATACTCCAGCTCATACTCTGCAGAAACAACACTCTCAACCTGTGAAAATGCACAATTTCATTGGTTTAGAATTCCATAAATTAGGGAGTGGGAGGCATAAACGGATAGTCAAACATTTTGGCTATGGACCTGCGCAGAAGGCTCAATCTTACTGAACACATTAGATCTGATTCAACCTTGTTTCCACTGTATTTAAGCTCTGTCCTTTCTAATAAGGCAGAAGGAGGGGAAAGGGTCCCTTCCCCCAGCTGTCCAAGAATTAATTAATTTTGCAGCAGCTACGATTTCAACTGACATTCAGTTTTTTACCCAGAATTCATTATGCTTCTTTTAGGGAGTTTGCTTCTCTTAAGAAGCTAGGAACATGGGGTGCCGCCGTATACAGTGGTACCTTGGTTCTCAAACACCTTGGTTCCCAAACGCCGAAAACCCAGAAGTGTTCTGGTTTTCGAATGTTTTTCAGAAGCCGAACATTTGATGCGGCTGTCAGCTATTGTTTCCAAGGTGCCTGCACCAATCAGAAGCTGCGCCTTGATTTTCGAACATTTCAGAAGTCAAACGGACTTCAGGAACGGATTAAGTCTGGTGCGTTTGTTTTTGCTATTTATTTTGCGTTTTTGTTTTTAAGGCTTTTTTGGTTAATTTGTTTTTGGGACTGTGGAACCCAGTTCAGCTACTGGTTGATTGATTGTGTGACTGTGGAAATGGATAAAAGCCCCCCATCCAAACAATGAATATCATCAGTGCAGGTAAGAAAAAAATGTAATTTTAATTTTTATCATCTACAATACTGCCTTATTTATTTTATACTACAGTACATTGATTATTGCTTTCATTTTATGGATCAATGGTCTCGTTAGAGAGTAAAATTCTTGTTAAATTGATGTTTTAGGGGTTGTTTTTTAAAGTCTGGAACAGATTAATCTGTTTTGCCTTACTTTCTATGGGAAAGTGCGCCTTGGTTTTGGAACGCTTTGGTTTTGGAATGGACTTCTGAAATGGATTAAGTTTGAGAACCAAGGTACCACTGTACTGAGTCAGACCATTGGTTCATCTGGCTCAGTATTCTCTACATTGACTGGTAGAAGCTCTCCAGGACTTTTAGACAGGGTTCTTTACCAGGAGATGCTACCTGGAGATGCTAGGAAACTTCTACTACTGAGCTAAGGGCCATTCCTCTACTGCTTTTTGGCACTGTATGCCAACGCAGCAAATTTCAGTGGTAGCTTTCCTTATTTACTACTCTCCGTCCAAATATATTAAAAATGAATTGCACAACAGGGCTGACTCCATGATCTTCAGGGTTCCCAGATAGAAAATGTTAGCTTTATTGTTTTAGACCTAGATGGACCCTGCCTAAAAAGTGATTAATCCAAAATCCCCTGTCACGTTTTCATTTTGGTGGGGCCCTAAGCTAGTCCAAGTATTTGCAAATACCTAAGCTTGTTAGCCATTAGTGGCTAGACAGTTAGGATGAGGAAGCTACGGTACTCTTACAAAATTATTGAATACAAAAATACTCATCCTTAGGCAAAAATAAACCCATGCCAAAATAATGGAAACAAAGCAATGTTCTTTGTAATATAAGGAGAGGCAAAATACATAAATGTGTGTAACTCAGCAGGACTCCTGGTTTATTGCCACCAACTCGTTCTACCACCAATACAAAACTTCTTATACTGTCAGGCAAGTGTTTCAAAAACAGTCTATGATGAGCTATAGAAAAACAGACCCAGAATTTACACCGTAAAGGCATACAGTGCAACTGCAAACCTTTAGGTATGCTGTAAAGATGTCTGAAAATAGAACAATTCACTATTTAAAAACATTCACACATCAAGTTATGGCTTCTGCTCCTTCTTGGTTTCATGCTTAGTACACATTCAAAAAACTTCTTTTGTCACTAAATCTACCTGATTTATCTATCTGATTGTAAATGTATCTGAAACAGGGCAAACATTTATCATGTTATTTTTCTTGAGGCATTTTTGGCCTGCAGGTCCTAAAGAAAACACAAATCCTGAATGTTTTTGTAAAGGGAGGGGAGAATTATTAATTTGTCAGTTACGCATTTGTGCAATTGCTACGCGTACATTTAGAAAACAGTACTTACGTCTTTCAAATAAATGTTATCAAGGTCATAAGAACTGTTCACCGCTTCAACCAGCCAGCTTTCTGGAGTGATCATGTTGAGGGTCAGAAGAGGGGATTCTGGCATTTCAAAGAAGTTTGCTCCCGGTGCGAGAGGAAAGGAACCACTGGCTCCTGAAACAAGTTCGGGCTCCAGAACAAAACGATAAAAACTACAGCAAGGATACAAATGTCAGCGTTAAAGGGAAAAGAGCAGAAAAGGAAGGGCAAGATGCAACTGAAAAGTTTGCAGAACAACTTTTTTAAAACACCTTCGAATCCTCTGATCCTATTTTATACATTCATCATTGCCGAGCACGCAAATGCTGCTATTTTTGAAGCAGCTAATCCACAAGCGACAAGACAGTGTAGGAGATCTTTCGCACCCTTTCTTTATTTTTAATTTCCACAGGCTTTATAGTTCTTCTAGCTCAGGTCGGATTCCTGCGCCACAATTACCAGCCGAGCCCTCAACAAACACATTCTCTTCACTGTCAACACGTGCCAAGAACGCGGCCGGTGTTACCAGCCCTTTGAGAAACAGAACACGCAGCTCAGGACGCCAGCATTAGCCAGCTGAATGCGACAGCCCTATTATATAGGGCAAGTGAACAAGCCCTTCAAAAACATGAGGCACACAATGATTAATTTTCCTGCCCAGAACCCATTTTATGCCTGGGAGAAAGCAAATACAAGTCACAGAAAACTCATAATATTGTAACAAATGATCTAATTATTTTGGCAAAAGGAAAGGGCTTCCTGGCTGTTGGTTACACGGCAGAAAGCAAATACAGCAAAAATGATAAATAAATGGTAATATGATGAGCTCCGATAAGCGATTCCAATTATAAAGTGATTACAATTATAAGCTCTCTTTCTATGAGGATATACTTTGCTTAAAGGACCATTTTTCTGCATTAATACCCACTAATGTTCTATAAGCACCAGCACCAAGCGACGAGTTGCTGAATTTATGCTAAGCATGTTTCTAACAGAGTGCAGTCAACCAATGTGCACATTTATTTAAGAATTCAGAGAAGCAGGAAGTGGGTGTTAATGCCTGGGTACATGAAAGGACTGGAAGATCAAGTATTTGTGGCAATACTTGCAAAATTACTCACAGTAATTCCAGACAGAAAGAAAGGAAGATTTGGAGAGAAGGAAAGTTGCAATTGAGAAGCAGCAGAGTGGGAAAACGTAAATGAGACTAGCAGAAGATTGTGGAATACTCATTGCCTAATGAGTAAAGTCATTAGGCAAGGCAACTACTTCTAAGTGGGAACCATATTATGGGGCAAATTTCATTAATAAACTTTCACGTGCTACTTACCTTTTCAAAGGCGCCTCTGACAGCTTGAATCTACAGTTCATAAACAGCCTCAGTTTCATGTTGACAACCTGACCAAGGAACTAACAGAAACAATTCTTGTATTAACGGAATTGTTTTGTATGGGATTTTGCCCTATCCAGAGTTAAGCACAACAATTTGCATGGGGCAACAACATAATTCCCGACACTTTCGTTGTACATATAAATTTATTTGTTTGCAACTTCTTACACCATACCCAAGTGCAACAGAAGTAGTTGCATTGCCCTAAATCCACCTCAAATTGAATATTCCCCCATGCTAAATAAATAAATAAATAATAAACATTTATACCCTGCCCATCTGGCTGGGTTTCCCCAGCCACTCTGGGTGGATCCCAACAGAATATTAAAAACATGATAAAACATTAGACATTAAAAGCTTCCGTAAAACAGTGCTGCCTTCAGATATCTTCTAAAAGTCAGATAGTTGTTTATTTCCTTGACACCTGATGGGAGGGCGTTCCACAGGGTGGGTGCCACTACCGAGAAGGCCCTCTGCCTGGTTCCCTGTAACCTCACTTTTCACAGTGAGGGAACCGCCAGAAGGCCCTCGGCGCTGGACCTCAGTGTCCAGGCTGAACGATATCCTTCTGGTATACTGGGCTGAGGTTGTTTAGAGCTTTAAAGGTCAGCACCAACACTCTGAATTGTGCTCGGAAACGTACATATATACACAATCATTTTATGAAGGAGGTTAGCTTAAAAAAGAGAAGTGGCCCAAAGTCACCCAGTAAATTTCATGGTCAAATGAGGATTGGAAGCTGGTTTGTTCTCTCTCTCTCTCTCTCTCTCCCCCCCCCCCCCCCGCCCTGGCATTCTGCACTACACAGGTCTTAACTAAATCACAAAGCGGGAATTGCATGCAAGAAATCAATAATGATCTTACAATCAGTAAATGTGACAGCTTCTGTGCTTCTCTCGACAACGGGTCTACAATGCCAACAACGTCAAAGAAGGGTTCGCTTTTCTGCTCTGGATCTATCTTTAGTACACTGTGGGGAGGAAAATACACCCAATGTTGAGCAAGGTATATAAAAGGGCAAGTATGATTTGTAGGGATGGCATACACTGGAATTTTATAATATAACCCTTTTGTGTTTTTAGAAAGCATGCTCTGGTTCAACAGATGTCCCATCACTTCATAACACACAGCCGATGGCGGGAACTACCTCCAGAGAAAACTATTGTGTCAAGTGGAGGTTTACATCGCACAATTACAAAGTATTTCTTGAAGTGATGGGATATGACTTAAAAACAGAACCACAATATCAACAGGTTTCCGAACTGAAGAATTTGGGAGAAACTAAAGAAAGGGACTTAATCTCAGTTGCCACACACAGAATTAATCAATTACAAAACAACAGAGAAATCGCCCAAACTCCAGTCATTAAGGCATGTCAGAATGTAGCAGTTTATCCATTTCTAAAAGCCCGGCTTCATAGGAGTTCTGACTGATGTGTTATCAGAACCTTTATTAAATACATCAAGTGCAACCCACAACAAAATGTTGCAGCTTGAAGTGTTCCTGTTTTAGTGTTTAGCGCAGTCCATGATCCTGTCCTTCATTCCCCCTCCCATCCAATTCCCCTGCCAATAGTTTGTCAGCATTTCATGGACTCTGAACATGCTCAGTTTTCATCGGGCTGATGATTATTTTTTTTGCAGGGGGGGGGAGTCCCCCTTGAGGTCTATTTTACCACCAGTTTTTATGTACTTCTGCAAACTTCCGGGCTCTGCTGATACCCCCCATTCCTGTGCACTGTCTTTGTGGTTTTGACCATGTGAGCCTATCCACACATGCCTGATCAGCAGAGATAAATGAATGCTAAAAGCAGCATCAAGAACATTTATTTTCAGCTCTGAACAATTAAATCAACTATGGTTGATTTTAGATCAAGTTTTTAGATCAAGTTCTGTTCTTGGGTATATGTGTGGATTGTTCATTGCCTGTACACATAATAAATCAAGTGCTAGAAAACGCTTCATTAAGTATTGAAACATCTTGCGTATCACACAGATTTCACAACGACAAATGCACTGTGGCAAAAACTAACACGCAACAATTTAGAGGCTTTTTACCTGTGCTTCTCTTTGAGAAAGTCAATATCTCGGCGGACATCACTTTTAGGCAAGGAAGAAAGAAGCGCACTCACTTTCATTGCTAAATTACTGCCGCTAAAGAAAAGAAGAAAGGGTTTTTTTCTTCAAGGCAAACAATCAGCTATATTTACCCCCTAAAATATAGACCAGGAAGTGTCACCATAACATTCTGAAGGCTTTCAAAAGACGTTAAAACTCAAATGCAAACTGTCAAATTGATTTGGATCTAAAGGAGTGAACGTCCAAAGTCGCATTGCCTTGGCTAGTGAGGAAAGCTCTAGCTACAATCCAAGAGAACCCCACAAAAATATTTTAATATAAAAAAATTTGAATGAAATATTACCGTTTACCGCCAACACCCATTTCCTTGACCAGGGCTTTGACCTTCGCTGTTGCCTTACTTAGCGTTACTTGCTCCAACAAGTCAAAGTCTTCTGCGGTCAGTTCATTTTCACGTAGAGGGCCTATTATCTGTTACAAACAAATTAAGACATTGGTGGGGATGGGGGAGGAATGCTACATTTTGCTTTTCGAGGCTTCAAACCAGCATCTGCACCTAGAATGAGCCTAGCTGCCAGTGAAACTCGACATACTTGCGTGTTATATTATGCGCATTTTGCATGCACTCTTTCATATTGTGTCTGGATGACAAAACAAGAGTGATGATGGCACTGGTGCTTCTTTCCCCTTGTCCCCTTTAGTGTAATGTGCTGGAGCATCATTAGCCATGGGGTAGGATCCCCTGATCCAGAGGCAAGAGCGCACAGTGCTGCCTTGGCAGCTAGGCGGTTCACCAATACTCTGTGCAGGCCCACTCCACACTCAGGCATGGAAATATTTCCATTCTGGACAACCAAACTGGTTCAGAGTCTCACTGTAGATGGTGGCTGCATTTATTACACGATCGCTGACCTGTCAAGGTCACCACCTTCTTAGACCTGCTGAATCCTAGGTGAGTATACAATTGTATCACTTCCCTGCAAAGAGGCAAGGAAGTCAGAAGTAAAAGGTGCTGTGCCAGCAGCTTCCCTTTTTTATATACCATTTGGTGCTGAGACCGATGGACGCATTCAGATGAAGGGCTTAGCTGGAGTGGTGAAGACCCATTCAGGCCCTTCTTGTGTTCCTCCTCCTCGAGAGGTCCAGAGGGTGGCAACACGAGAACGGGGCCTTCTCTGCAGTGGCTCCCTGTCTGTGCAGTGCTCTCCCCAGTGAAGTTCGCCTGGCGCCTTCATTATACATCTTTAGGCACCAGGCAAAATTGTTCCTTTTTAACCAGGCCTTTGGTTGATCTGACTGACATCCTATGCCTTTTTAAAATGTGGCTCTTTTTGGTGGGGGGTGTTATTGGGTTGTTGTTTTCATTTTGATTACATATATTGTGGTTTTTATGTTGACCTTGTTCTGTGAACCGCCCTGAGACCTCTGGGTATAGGGCGGTATAGAAATTCAATAAATGGAAAAAAAAAAATAGAACCCCAAGCCCAAGTATAATGTGTTTGGGTGGGGAAATGGATCCAGCCAGCAGCCTGAATCCTGACCTCACTCAACCCCTGCAGGACGTTTCAATAATGCAACTGGGACACCAGGAGAAATGCTGTCCTTTGGGTGATTTGAAATGAAACTCTGTGAGTAAAGGCTCAGAGGTTTGCAGACACCAACCACCAGCCGTTTAGCAGTGTCTGCTTACAGAAAGGAGCCAGATCTATACCTTCCTGCAAACCCTGGTATATGACATCAGGTGTGGGGCATGCGGGTCTGGTTTGGGGAAGATTAGGACCTTGTAGGTAAAACTAGGACCCTTCTGTGCCAAATGAGGCCCACAACCAGAGGTTCCCTACTGCTGGTTTGGAATGGTGGATAAGAAGATGCCAGTGAGATGAAAAAAGAGCAAGAGCTGGGCTTTCTCGATAAGCTGAGTGAAGTTCGTCCTACAAATGAGTTTACTTGTTTACTTACCCTGCCATTACTAACAACAGCCATTTGCCCAGGAAGCAGCTTAAGAACCTCTCGACAAAACACCTGGTGAGCCTGAATCATATCAACACCTATTGTGTTGTACTTCTTCTCAAACGCATCGTTATTCATGCCCTAGAACAGAAAAGTAACAAGATGTCTCCCAGGTCGGAAAAGCTAAAACATCTCCCCCCAAGAGAGACTGGGTGTCAAATCCAGCCTGGCATCAGCACTTCCAAACACTTAAATCAGTTTCTCCTTGAATTCACAGTGCAACGGCACCAAATGAGGAGGGCCCTCCTTTAAAATGACTTTGCTGGCTTGTACGATCAGCAAGTGCGAAGAGAGTAAAGGGAGTGTAAAATTACAAACCGGAACAAGAAGTGTCTTGATTTTAGTTCCCGTAGCGAGAGATCTTGCCGTGTCCTCTTTTAGAATCCGACCGAGAAAGTTTTTCAGACTAGCGTTTTTCTGCGTTAGAAAAGCTGCCAAGATTGCCCTTGCAATGACAGTGTTATCTTCAGTTATTTTCGATGCAGGATTATGCACAACCCCAAGCTGTACATGACTGCTAGTTTTCTGTAAGACACAGATAGAGGTTACATGTTTACTTATTATTACAGTTAATGCCTGCAAGTCCCTCCCAGACCACCAACTCTCTCTCTCTCTTCCTTCAAATCCCTTCTCATAACCCACTTTTCCTACGAAGCCTTTTGATAAGCCTGTCAGTCTGCATCTGCAACTGGAGTGAAGCCTAAATACATTCATCCTTCAGTACCCTTGCCTCTCCTTTCCTTGTTATCAACTCTCGTGTTTTCAAAGCAGCTAAGGTTGATGGGGAGATGCTTTGAAAAAATGAGAGCAATTGGCTGTGGCTCCCCATATATGCCGAATAAGCTCCCTTTTACACTTTGTTGTGTTTGTCACTGCAAACAATGGTGTGCACACACAATAAACAGGCTTGCTGATGAAGTGTGAATTGGCTCTTCTTTTCTGAGAATGGCATTATAAGCCTATGGAATCAAATCAAGGCTCCATGTAGTCTAGCAATCTGATCTCAACCAGCGACAAGTTTCTAGGAAGTTTACAAGCAGGGCATAAATGTTATAGTCTGGCCTCCCTCTCAGTTTGCATTTCTTGGTACAGATCTTGATCTGATGTGTAGAGATCTTTCCTATTTTAATTAATTCAAGAGGGTTATGGAAGCTTCGGTGTGTGAGAGAATCTGGTGCAAGCTGGAAGTTTCTACCTGACACCTAAGTTTCTATTCTGCCTAGAAACAAGCAGAAGGTTCATGATGTTTGGGTAATTCCTTCAGAAAAGTTGAGTACAGCGGACTTAAATTGGTTCCATTTTCTCTTTCTGTCGAGGTCATACTGACTATAAAAGTAGGGCCAGAAGGAACCCGAGTTTCACTTTCTATCTCTCTTTCCTTCTGGTGTAGTGTTCTGTATATAGTATGCTTAGTGTTAAGGTTTTAGTCTTCTTGTAACTTATTGTAAGTTTAAGTTACGTCTGCTGCAACTAGATTTCTTAAGTACAGTGCGAATCCTGAATGTGCTGGATTTGTGACCATTACGCTTATCTGCCTTAAGTAGCAGTAAAGCTCTGCTGGGTGAAATATTAATTGCCTCTGGTCTATTTCTTTGGGAATCCTGCAACGTAAGTTTTCACTCTGCTAACTATATGTCGGAGTTCTGCTCTGCATCAATAATGAGTAGAATTTATGTTACTCCCTGCACTCAAGTATCCAAAACGCTGAACCTTATGGATAGTTCATGCATGTAAAACAGAATTCAGAACTGTTACGGTGGGAGCAGCCAAGATATAGTGTTGGGTCCAAAGTTAGTTACCATATTTTTTGCTCTATAAGACTCACTTTTTCCCTCCTAAAAAGTAAGGGGAAATGTGTGTGCATCTTATGGAGCGAATGCAGGCTGCACAGCTATCCCAGAAGCCAGAACAGCAAGAGGGATTGCTGCTTTCACTGTGCAGCGATCCCTCTTGCTGTTCTGGCTTCTGAGATTCAGAATATTTTTTTTCTTGTTTTCCTCCTCCAAAAACTAGGTGCGTCTTGTGGTCTGGTGTGTCTTATAGAACGAAAAATACGGTATATATTAGTTCCGTTGAAATCAATGGGACTTATGGGTCACAATTAACTAGTCCCATTGAATTTAATCACTGACCTGAATTCTTATATAGCATATAAAAGGTGGTATACTTTGAACAATCAAGCCAACAAAGACAAATGTGACTAAAGCACACTACCTTAGTTTGGATCCAACTCAAAAGATGCCAGCTTATCTTTTAGAGCAGGAGGCTGCAATGGCTGTTTTCCTGAACATTATGAAAGTCCAGGAAAAATATCAGTTTGGCACAGTAAAACCAAATTTATAGGACAGTTATTTACTCTGGAAGTGTCAGATACTTTAAAATTTTATTTATTTAGGCAACCATTCGGTTCATCCCAAATGCAGAAATGGGCATGCACTGCTCAGTATGGAGATTGGATCATTCCCATAATCATTTCCTTCCTTCCTTATTAGATACACTCTTGCTAAATGAAGGGTTTGGGTGCTGACATAGTAAACTGCATGTGTATAATGAGCTTGTACCATTACATATAATACAGAGATGTCAAAAGAAGTCAGCATCTTTCATCTGGCCTATTTCTTCCAACTCTCTTTGGCTTTTTCAGTCCAATTCCTTGCCAGCTTTGAGAATTGTTCAGAAGCTAAGCTTGCCTATTTCCTTAAAACTTTTTATTTTATTTTATGGAAAGGCGATAAGATATTAGGTTAGTGAGACCCTTCCATAGTGATCAAATACTGTTGCCGTTATTTGTGTTTCCATCACTATCCTCCTTCAGAGCCTTGAAGAGAGAGATGACCCGGCTGCACTCATACTATGCGGACACAGGAATTTTACAGCACTGACCAGGTATTTCAGGGCATTTGAAAGCAGTTGCCTCCCATCTGGGCTATCAAAATCAGCAACGATCCATATGGTGCCTGGGTATACTACATCTTCATCTAAAAAAAGAAAAGGGAGGGAAAGAACCCAGATCGAACATTTTCACTTTTCAACATTAAAAAAATAAAAAAAAGGGAAGTGCATGAAGAAGAGTGCACTGACAGAACAGAAGTATGGATTGCTGTATACAGTGGTACCTTGGGTTAAGAACTTAATTCGTTCCATAGGTCCGTTCTTAACCCGAAACTGTTCTTAACCTGAGGTACCACTTTAGCTAATGGGGCCTCCCGCTGCCGCCGCGCGATTTCTGTTCTCATCCTGAAGCAAAGTTCTTAACCCGAGGTACTATTTCTGGGTTAGCAGAGTCTGTAACCTGAAGCGTCTGTAACCTGAAGCGTCTGTAGCCTGAGGTACCACTGTACAGAGCTATTTTAAAATATGCTAGTAAGTATTTGGGGCAGCACCGCTCACCCCATGTTCTTACAATAATGTGACATATGATTGAAGCAGCAAGGAGAGGGAAGGACGCTGCCCCTACTGAAGCCACCCCTTGCCTGAATGTCTGAATCAGATAGCCTAGTCTACAAGCGTAGGCCCCTCACATGATTCAACGATTCTAAATCATCTTCAGAGGGGGTGCACGCACTGAACTTCAGCCCCAAAGTGCAGCTGGCAGGGGGTGGGTCTGGCAGGGGATGCACCAGAACGGCCATTGAGCACGGCCCCTCTCTCCCCATTGCACGACAGGAGGGAGAAACGACTGCAGAAGGCTTATGTTCTTAAGTGCTATTGCTGGCACAAATATAATGCTGAACTATGATTGGCTCTACCAAGGGAGGACTGCCATGCAAGAGGAGGGGGAAGTATTGTGCAGCCGACAACTCCTCACTAAGTGCACAGCACGCCAACTGAAGTAGCTATTGTCACTGACTGGGTATGTTGTATTTCGACTAAGCCAATTTAAGAACCAGTTGTTGAATCCGTGTTCACAATCAATTCCACACATTGGGACAGAATGTGGCTGATATGACATTAACAGATGCCCCATGTGTGGGATAACCAGTCGCAAATAACTAATATGTTTAAGTCTAATCAATGCATGAAGGGGTTAATACCATAGAGTAAGCTGTCCTGCCAGGCTTAGCTAGGTCCACTTCCTCTCACCTTTGTAGAAACTAGGTAATCAAGCCTTTGTTCTTCCCAGTCTACTTGAGAAGCTCAGCACTTGAAGAGGTTTGAGGTGGTTGCTCAAGCCCAAGCACATGGCTCTCACAAGCCACTCTTGAGTTCTTAATACTAATAATTTAGGAACTTTCACCATTTTGTAACTAAGCTAAGTTTTACTGCCTGTAAAACTTTTCTGAAGCATGTGAATCTTTTCTTTTTTAATATGATTTTTATTAAATTTTCTGTTTTACAATCTCAGATAAACACTTTACATACTTAAAATACCAATGACTTCCCTTCTTCTCTTTCCATGGTTCATTTTACACATCTTATATCCCTGCATATTTCACAAAAACTATACCAATTGGCTTTCCATTATTACATCCAACAAAACTTATTTACACTGTTGAATTTATCTTAATGCTGCCAGCGTTTTCAGCTGTACACAATTATTTTCCATTTATTCAATAATTGTGAAGCACATGAATCTGACCTTTGGAGAGTTGTAAGTAAACAATTTTTTAAACTTACCAAACATGTGGCCTTTTCTTATGCTAGGGGGAAGAGGAAAACTTTGGAAAGAAAATTTTTAGGGAACATTTTGGAACTCACTTGGAGGGGCATATTTTAAAGGTCTAACAGGCTATATTTCCACGCTTTACTTTGCTGCGTATTTTGTGGTTTTAAATCTCTGCTGGGGTTCTCTTACCTAAGAGTACTTGACCCAAATTTGGATCTTGTTATATTTAAGTTACATTTAAGGATCTTGTTATATTTGAATTATATTGAATCAAATTACCGTATTTTTCACTCTATAAGATGCATCAGACCATAAGACGCACCTAGTTTTTGGAGGAGGAAAACAAGAAAAAAAAACTTTCTGAATTTCTGAAGCCAGAACAACAAGAGGGATTGCTGCACAGCGAAAGCAGCAATCCCTCTTGCTGTTCTGGCTTCTGGGATAGCTGCGCAGCCTGCATTCGTTCCATAAGACGCACACACATTTCCCCTTACTTTTTAGGAGGGAAAAGGTGAGTCTTATAGAGCAAAAAATACGGTATATTGAATGTATATTTGAGGGGTTTTTATGTAGCTTAAAGCAACAATACAATGTTATAACTAATCTTGGTAAACCATTCAGCTTGCATCAGACATTGCTCTATGAATGTTTCATAACAACAGTTAAACAAAAACAAAATGTACCTTTCCTTGTAACATACTTCATGTTTTCTGAAATAACAAAAGTCTTATCTTGAGAGTCCAAGAAGGAAAAAGTTGAGAAATCGTTTGTATCTATAGGCACTGCAAAAATTAAAACGTGGCTTGTTAATATCAAATATGAAATCAAACTTAGGGCTGACAGAAAGAAAAGAAGCAGCACTTGGGTTTACCAGATGGGGATGCAAAGTTCAAATATCTTCTTTGAGGATCAAGAATCTTGTCATGTATATGTGAAACTACATTCTGTTGCTCCATGATGAAGTCTACTGCGTTTGTATGGTCATTCAGCACGCCCTGAAAGGAAAACAACAGCAGTTCAGTTTCCGCACCACTCAATAACTTTAGATCGTTCTATTGGTACCTATTTGAAAAGTACCAGTGCCTGTAAAAGGTCATTGGAGCGGGTAACAGCTTGAACTTGTGGTCAAAGGGAGGAAGAGAACTTGCTGGAAGTAGGCAGCTCCCATAATCCAGTTTGCATATTCACCAAAATTGAAAAGGTTGCTTTGGAATTTTATACCAACACTAAAAAGGATGGGGGAATGCATACTATCTTGATAAAAAAAAAAACCTGAGTTAAATAAAAGAGCTACCAGTGCATGAAAAATGTAGGACACCTAGCCAGCGTGGTGTAGTGGTTAAGAGCAGTAGTCTTGTAATCTGGTGAACCGGGTTCACTTCCCCGCTCCTCCACATGCAGCTGCTGGGTGACCTTGGGCCAGTCACACGTCTCTGAAGTCTCTCAGCCTCACTCACCTCACAGAGTGTTTGTTGTGGGGGGAGAAAGGGAAAGGAGATTTGTTAGCCGCTTTGAGACTCCTTAAGGGGAGTGAAAGGCAGTATATCAAGTCCAAACTCCTCTTCTTCCTAAGGGGGCAGGGAGTGAATTTCAAAACTGAGGTGAAGTCCTGATGACCTTCTACTACAGGATGCTGTGTAACGTGAAATCCTGCCTCCTCTCAGTGGCGTTTTTCAGTTGAGCCTCCCCATCTTTGTGGGGGAGAAATTTGGAGACTAGAGACTGGGGTGTCAGCTGCTGGGAGCTTCCAAGAGTCCATAAATTCTGGCTCTAGACTATAATACTCGTTAGCCAAAGACATATTTTTTTATAATGAAGGTGAATCCCGTTATTTTAAAAAAATGTAACAGAGGCTAGAATGGATTTGGGTTCAATCAGCACTCCTTCTCCCTTAAGTGGCGTTGGGTTGGCTCTGCAGAAGGGCTATTGAGGAAGAGCTGCCAGAGTTGTGAATAGCAGTGGCATATAGAGTTAGAGGGACGCGGGTGGTGCTGTGGGTTAAACCACAGAGCCTAGGACTTGCCGATCAGAAGGTCGGCGGTTCGAATCCCCGCGACAGGGTGAGCTCCCGTTGCTCGGTCCCTGCTCCTGCCAACCTAGCAGTTCAAAAGCACGTCAAAGTGCAAGTAGATAAATAGGTACTACTCCAGCAGAAAGGTAACCGGCATTTCCGTGCACTGCTCTGGTTCGCCAGAAGCGGCTTAGTCATGCTGGCCACATGACCCGGAAGCTGTACACCGGGTCCCTCGGCCAATAAAGCGAGATGAGCGCTGCAACCCCAGAGTCGGCCACGACTGGACCTAATGGTCGGGGTCCCTTTACCTTTACTATAGAGGGAGTTATAAAAGAGGCGATGCAAAAATTGAGACCCCTCAATCTTTAACTTGAGACCCGTCAACCCAGTCCCCATCATCATATTCTGGACTAACAATTGAGTCACGTGGGTCAGCCCCCGGTGTCGGTAATATGGTTGTCGGAAATCAGTACAAAATGATCAGAAGATTGTGGAGCAATTTCTTCTCTCTCCAGGGAAGAATGCCATCTATGAAGCAGAGTCTTAGAACACACCTGCTTATATAATTTTGTGAAGGGCTTTATGTCAGGAAGCTAATAGCAAAACAGCCTTAGGTTGACCATTACGTTCAGAGGGAGACGGAGGGTGGGAAGGAGTCAAAGTTTGTCCCCATGTTCAGAGGAAACTTCTCCCAGAAATGCCTCTTTGGTTAAATTGTCTCTGAACATCAGCATTAAGCTTAAAAGCATGTGGGATGGGTTGGCCGCTGGGCTGCAAAGAGTTACGGCAAGGGAGAGTTAAAAATAATAATTTTTTGACCAGGGGGAATTGGTGACTCCTTAAAAACTCCTCATTGTCTAGAGGCTGAGGTAGAATAAAGCATTTCTAAGAGCTCACACTGTTCTGTGTAGCCACTCCAGGAATCTTCTCTGCTTCTCAGATGAAGAAGGAAACAAGCGGTTAAACAAGCTTCAAGCAGATGCTCCTAAGAAAGCATGGATCTTAATGATTCATTCCCCCATGTACTGGGATCACCTGGCTTCCTGCTCTGAAAGTTTCATGGCTTGCACAGGGATGCTAATGGCCTGTTCCTGTTCCGCTGGCTCCAGGTCCTTGCCCTTTTCAAGTGCCTTGCAAGCTACAATGCAGCTGTCAGAGGCAGAAATTGTGGGCTCATTTGCTGTCATTCTCCCTTTCCAGAGATGCAACAAGCAGGTGTTGGGGTGCCAGTACAACACACACCTCCAACCAGGCGCCGTGGATCCAGAGCGGGTTGTGAGGAGCTTTGCAAAGGGCAAAAAAATACATTGTACTCCACTTCCGCCTTCTGCTAAAACAACCACAGGGAGAATAGGAATGAAGGGAAGGCAAGAAAAAGCCAAGCAGATAAGGCAAATGGGGCTTTTACAGTGGTGCCTCGGGTTAAGTACTTAATTCGTTCCAGAGGTCCGTTCTTAACCTGAAACTGTTCTTTAACCCGAAGCACCACTTTAGCTCATGGGGCCTCCTGCTGCTGCCGTGACGCCGGAGCACGATTTCTGTTCTCATCCTGAAGCAAAGTTCTTAACCTGAAGCACTATTTCCGGGTTAGTGGAGTCTGTAACCTGAAGCATGGATGTAACCTGAAGCGTATGCAACCTGAGGTACCACTGTACTGTTGTTGTTATTATTATTATTAGAATGGGCAAAAGACAGAGGTTACTGTGAAGAAAAAGGTGAGGAGGGGAAAAAGTGAAGTCAGGAAGGTGGTTAGAACATCACACTCACACAAATTATTCAATCATTTGAAGAAAAGGATAGTAGGGGAAAATGTCTTCTTATCCAGTCCACATTTTTGTAGCAGCATTTGTCTTCATACTGTGGTTCCAAGCATCTCAAGGATTAACAAGGGCTTAGTAAAATTCTAAAGCATGGATAATAATTATATATTAGGTTTCAAAATCATGACTGCAAATTAAAATAATGATGCCATTTAGGTTTTCACAAGATTAATTCCAAACCGCCTCGTTATAAAAAATGTAGAACATAAGCATAACTTAAGCAATCGACTAGCTATTATTTCACTGAGCATTTGCTTAAAAATAAAATGCGAAACATACCAAGAACACTGCCCTCTGGAAGGACTCTGTGGCATCCATGATCTTCACTAGAGAGGTTTGTAGCTCTGCAAGATTCATCTCTTTTCTGTTAAAGGGCACGCCATTAAAGAGAGCTTGAGGCAATGGACCCAGGCCAGTCTTCTTATAAAACATCGCTCCTGCCTAGATGGAGCAAAGATGTCCCAATTATATAGAGCTGACTGTGGAAAAGTAGTGATTAGATATCAAGAGAAAATGAACACAAACATCTATGCATCGCTTGCTGGGACAGGTGAGGAGCAAAGTGATTTATTATTCCTTTATAACTTTCCAAACAGTTATTTTAAAGGCAGGGGGACTGGCAATCGCCGGCTGAGAACATGATTTCCTGAAACAATGAATTAACAGTATTTGGGTTGAATTCAGGTTAAGTTACTTGAACTCAGTTCCCACTGGAATCAATGGGACAAGTCAAGACTAACACGAACACAAATTTCAATGAGAACTAGGTTTAACTAACTTCTTCTCGATCCAACCCTCCGCATTTCATTTAGACCTGCAAATTAGTTGGCAACATTAGAATACTTCATTTATTTATTCTTTCAAATCAATGCATTGATGAAGATATGGAAAGCTGGTTGAACATGCACTGTCATAGGTGAAAAAAGATCTCATGACAGGCAAGTCAAACAAGGCAACGCCACTGTTTTGAATGACAGCTGTCTATCTGCCTTTCCTGCTTACTTACAAAGCCAAGCATCAAGTTGAATTTACAGAAGTGGATTTAGGATGACTAACACTGCAATCCTATGCACGGCGGCTCAAAAACAAGTCCCACTGAGCTCAATGGGGCACGCCTCCCAGGTGACCGAGAACAGAACTGCTGCCTGTAAGATGTATTAGGACAGTGTTGTTTTCTGTTTCCCTGTTGACCCTCAAACAACAGAGCCTATAAGACTCATTTTAGAAGATACATCCACACATCTGATCCTGGCCGTTTTCTGCATTACAGCATCAATGTCGCTTTGCTGATATTCCAGACTCTGTGGCATATTGTGGGAAGTGAAATATTGTACCTCCTCAAACATCTGATATTCCAAAACCTCAGTGTTCAATGCCCGTGAATTTGTGCCATCCACCCAAAATACTTTAAAAAATGATTTTTTTGTACATCCTCTTGCAACTCTGTGCTGTTCCTACCTGTCTGTTCTCATCATAATCGGAATCGACACCCAAGATATCTTGCAAGTCAGCATGAGGAAACCCTGTGACAAGAAAACGCTTCACATGCCCCACAGAAAGTACACCTCCCTCTTCTACTTCATGGTACATCTAATTAAAAGAGAGAGGAACAGATAAAGAAATGTGATCACCCATTCTACTGATGTATTCATATTATATTAAATTTTTATTGCCAAGCTGCAAGTGGATTTTAAAGGCTCCTGCCGCCCAATCACAGGCCCATGTAGCTCATTTTATTACCGGGTTTTTCAGCAGTAACCAAGAGACGGCACACTTTAATGCCTCCGCCAATTAAACTTCAATGAACTTTCACTCTTAAACTCATCCATCATATGCATTTCTGGGCACTTATGGGAAAAGGAGAAATTCAGGAGAGAGAATAAAACCACCCTTTATTTTCTGCACAATTACATGCATCCATCTCACATCCTTCCAGTACCCAGCCATGAAATGCGTCAAGCAAGCAAAGCAAATATTTACATAATAAAGCTGTCTTGTTGCCTACTCTCTTCCTGAAGCCCAGAAATATGAGTAAACTGCTAAATATGCAGTCATGTTAGAAATATCACAGCTTAGCCGTCAGAGCTATTTAAGGGAAGACAAGTAGGGAGGCATAAAACCTCACAGCTATAAATTAGCCACTAATAAAGTTAGGTTAGAAATGGGGAGATTTCTATTACTGGCACATAATTCTAGGACAGCCTCCCTAGAACAGCTTTGGGAGCAAGGAATCCTGACGGCTTCATGAGAGTGTTAGATAAAATTAAAGAGCTAGGTTTTCATGATTTTATTCTGCAAGCTTCAGTTTAACCTGCGCTTAAGCACCTGGAATTTACCTTCCTCCTCCAGGATTCCTGTTAAGCAGGAATGCACCAACTCTCTCAAATCCATATATTTAGCGTTTCTCCCCTTAACAATCCCAAACTGGTGAGCAGAAGCCATTTACACCAGGGGGTCAGGAAGCCTTTCAGTCCGACGACCAGATTACTAGTGTGGAAAGCTCTTGGTGGGATGGGGTGGGTGTGTTGAATGTCAGCAGTGGGTGGTACCACACCCCAAAAGTGGGCAGGGCCAGACAAGGAGACAAAAATAAACACAGCCTCTTACTGGCCTGGCAAAAGCACTCAAGGATGGATGCTAAATATGTTTCATAATAATGCCTAACATTGAATTCACCGCCTCATTTTTTTATTTTATTTTTACTACCATCCACCTGAATTCAGTTCCATGTTTTCCAGTTTAACCACAGTTGGGTTAAGAGTAAGGAAATTCTAATCTGCCTCCACACACCCACACACCCCTGGTTTGCCTAGCAATTCTGTAGGTTTCCTTTGCTTTCACCTGTGCCGCATTTCTCTGTTTGTATGAGTCATCTGAAGCTAGCTGAGGCTTCCTGCTTATATGTCTCAATTGCATGCACTGAGTTGGGGGCGTGCGTCTCTATCTTGAGGCAGGCAGCTGAATTGTATGTTTTTGGCCCATTCAGGCTAAGATCTGTGCCAAAAGGCACATGGATCTGCATCCATCCCCGCCCCACCAGGAAAGCTTGGCAATGATAAGAACAAAGCTTCTTACGGAAAAGTATTTTTAAAAAATAAATGCATTTAGATAGTATGCCCCATGGCTACTTTGTAAATGTAGAAAAAATCAGGTAACCTTGAAAAAAAAAGGATTGTTTTAAAAATATTTTACAAGCACTAACTCTCGTCATGGCAGTAAAAGCTGCAGGGATATCCATTTCATCTGCAACGAAGTTAAAAGCTCTCCATAAAGCTACACCTGCATCCTTGTTACCGTCAACGACTTCGTCGGTATTTAGGACGAAAACAAACCCAATTCTGTTCAGAAAAGAAATGAAAATTCTGTAAGAGTTGCAGCATTTTATAAAACCACATTATAGACACGTTGAATATGAATCCAAACAGCAAGAATAAACTGGCAACATTCAAAATATTAAAGTGAGTGGCAGTGGCCTACAGCAAATAAAAGCAATTTAATTGTTATGAAACCATCTACCATTAGTGACGATGACTCTGCAAGCAGTGAAAGAGGTAAACTGGACCGACTAGATAGCCTGGACCTGCTTAGAGAAAGGTTTTAATTTAGGGTTACCTTTCTGTGTGAGCTCAATCCAATTATGACATCTGACTGCAGATAGCTCTCATGTAGCTATAGGTTCATGGGAGATTTTGCCTGCTAGTTAGACTGCTGACCAGAAGATACCAAAATTCAAAAGGATCTTTTGGGTAAGAAACATATTTCCCCACTACAGAAAATATTCTAGGCGATAGAGATAAATAGATATTCATACAGGCTAAAGAGAATTTTCCAGATTAATGGGACTTCACTCTAGAACAAGATAGTTCTGAAGTAGAGAAAATTTGTCCCAACAAATTGCCTTCACCACATCATTCATGAAGTAAAATTCCTAGCTTTTCTATTCATCAAACACAGATAGCGGAAAAACTAGACCCTCCCGCTGAGGTCCTCCTTTATCCCTGATTTTGCTGATGGTTCAGGTCCTAACGTGATCTTTACTTCTGCTGAGAAACCTTATCTCCTACCTTGACCTCTCAAAACAGATGTCCATGTCCTATTCAAAACCACGCTATCAAAATCATGTCTGCACATTTTCTTTTTTAATAGGATTTTTATTATATTTTATGTTTTACAAATTCAGATAAACATTTTACATACTTAAGATATCAATGACTTCCCTTCTTCTCTTTCCATGGTTCATTTTGCATATCTTATATCCCTGCATATTTTACAGAAACTATACCAATCGCTTTTCCATTATTACATCCATCAAAACTTATTTACACTGTTGAATTTATCTTAATGCTGCCAGCGTTTTCAGCTGTGCACCATTATTTTCCATATATTCAATAAACGTTTTCCAATCTTCTTTAAATGTATGTTCTTCTTGTTTTCTTATTCTATACTTTAAGCCTGCAAGTTGTGCATATTCTGTCAACTTAAGTTGTCAATCTTCTTTGGTCGGGACCTCCCTCCTTTTCCATTTTGGGGCTAACAAAACATGGGCTTCAGTTGTTGCATACATAAATAACTTTTTCTGAGGTTAAAAAAAAAAAATGTTCACACATTTTCAGTCTTTAACTGACTTGGCACTCTGCATTCCTTATTCCCCCTGAACATCTATGATTTATCTCACTTGATACCAACAGTTTTATATCAGCACAGTAATTCTCCAGTAGCCAAAATTCCTGCCCTTTTACCTAGACTCTACAGTTCCTGGTATCCCTTCCCTCCTAACTTTAGCTAAGTCTTCTTTGCAAGTCTGTACTTGGTAGTTCCTAAGCATCTTTACTGTGAAATTCTGCTTGTCCCATCCGCCAGCAGCAATAAGTATTTTAAATCAGAATATCAAGCACAGCTTTCCAGTCCTAGGACCCTAAACTAGTTTTCTATGGTGATTCTATTGAGAACAAATCCAAAGTAATATCAACAATTCTCCACTGATAAAACAAAGTACTGTGAGAGGAGATCAAGGTTCATCTAATCTAGCTTTCTGGTCACATGTGCTTCTGGAAGCTTCCGTCAAATCTATGGAATTACAGGACATGCACTGATTGGAAGCAAAGTAGTATATCCGTCCTGAAACTCTTGCAGTTGCAAACAGTATTTCTTTATTTACCTAATAAATATGCACTGGTTTATGCACTGATTGATGTGGAAAACCTCAAAGGTGGAAGGCCCAGTGGGGGTCTAGCTTGCTTCATCTCTACAGCGTTAAACGCAACTACAACACCTATAACCCCATGTAATCCATTTGCAACTGCTGTCCTGGTTAAAGTACGGAAAGCTTTAATGCTGTTTAATGTGGATTAAGGTTTCCATACAACCTTGCCAAAAAAAATCTACTATAAATGCTATCTGGACAGAATTAGAGAATTATATAGAATTCCTGGAATCCATCAAAGCTGTTTACATTCTTTTAAACTGTTTTTTAATTGTTTATTTCTTTAAAAAACAATGTTTAAAATTGTTTTTAACTGGTTTGTATAGCCAATGCGCTTTTAAAATGTGCTGGGGTGGGTGGGGATTAATTTGGTAGTTTCTGTTTTTAGTTTGATTATATATTCTGTGTTTTTATATTGTTATTTTATCCTGTGAACTGCCCTGAGGCCTGCGGGTATAGGATGGTATATAAATTAAAATGAATGAATGAATGAATAAATGATAAAACAATTAAAATAAATCCACAACCCCTCTTTAAAACTTACAAAGTTAAAATACTAAAATGGATTAAAATTATGTCAACTTTTAAAGCAACTGCTTAAGTTTTTCCAAACCAGAGCTTTCCAAACTTTTCATGCTGGTGACACACTTTTCAGGCATGCATCATTTAGCGACACAGTAATTCAGCTTTTCTGGCAAACTGGAGGTTAAACTAACCCCTTATAAGAGATATGGATACATATATAAATGTAATAACAAAATGTATGGGGACACACCTACACACTGCAGCCGACACACTAACATGTCGTGACACAGTTTGGAAATAATGTTTTTAACAGGTGCCAAAAAGAGTTCAGTGAAGGCCTGATCTCAATAGGCAGGGAGCTCCAAAGTGCAGGTGCTGCCATACTAAACAAAGGATTGAAAGGATTTTAACTGCCCTTACCCTATCATGAGCACAAATAATCATGAACACACAATTAAGAGAATGGCTGGAAGGGCCCCAATGGTCACCACACATGACATTTACACAGACTGTACGCCAGTGTACACCATCATGCATAAGAAACATATCTGCCCATATTTCAACTTACCTAAGAGGCACCTTTTGAAAGTAGAATACTTCTACAAGTTTCATGAAGTGAGCTGCTTCTTCTTGCATAGGATCAATAAAGATGACCTGACGGGAGAAGAGAATCCTTAGGCCCAATATCATTCCCTGTACTTTCTCTGCTCTTTTCCTTTGCAGACTTAAAGAGGCCCAAAAGAACATATTGAGGTAGCATATCTGTTCTAGACTGTATGATTCCAGACTGCAAGTTTGGGATCACACAACTGAATTATCTCCCGCAAAAAAATATTGATGTCCAACAGACAACATTTAGCCCAGCAAAATCACCTGACGTACTTGTAGGCTATGTGGAGAATTTTCTTGTATGAGGGACATTCCCAAAATGTGTACAGTGGTACCTCCGGTTATGAACTTAATTTGTTCCGGAGGTCCATTCTTAACTCTAAACCGTTCTTATCCTGAGGCGCACTTTCGCTAATGGGGCCTCCCGCTGTGTGCACGCCGCTGGCATGAGACTTCCACTCGCATCCCAGGGCAAAGTTCGCTAACAGGAGCAACCACTTCTGGGTTAGCGGAGCTCATTACCCGAAGCGTACGTAAGGAGGACGGTACATAACCAGAGGTTCCACTGTACTGTCATACCTCAGGTTACAGATGCTTCGGGTTGCATGTTTTCGGGTTGTGCACCACGCCAAACCCGGAAGTACCGGAACAGGTTACTTCTGGGTTTTGATGCTCACACATGCGCAGAACCACTAAATCATGCTTTGCGCATGCGCAGAAGCACAGAATCGCAACATGCACGTGCGCAGACATGGCGCTGAGCTGCATGGATCACGTTCGCAACCCGAGGTTCCACTGTACTGTCATCTGCACTGTGAAATGGTACAGCCCATACACAGATTTATCACTTCAGTGAGAGCTACTAGTTCAACAATATCAGGAAAAAGTAAGCACATCCCTAGTAATAGCTAGGGGAAATGGAAAGATAAAAGTCCATTTATATACTTGAATGCAACTTTAGAATTTATGCATTTGTAGCAAAAGTCTGGGTGATAAACAGTAGCAGATTTGTCATTTTGAATTTTGTTCACAACCTCCCAAAATGTATATGCTTACCGCTTCCTGCGGCCAACCTTTGATGAATGCCACTTTTGCAGGGGGTGGTGAGAATACTTAAAATATGTATATCTTACATTTTGTCTACAAATATTTTACACCCTGGAAAAGTTATTACTCTAGGTTGCTGTATTTTTTATTTTCATTTTGTTGTTGTTTCTGAATATCTTAGATGGCAACTTTTCATCTAACGCATTACAAAGTCAAGAAGCTGAACCTAAATAAAGGAGCCAATATTTTGAACTTTTAGAGGTAAATTCTTACAATGGCATATACTCATTTGGCCACAGATATCAACACACAACAATCTGGCTAGCAAAGTGACTGCACTGGTTCTCTCAGCAACAACCTTTTCAAATATGTGCAGGCAGTTATCAATCAGCTTGGCCAAGGATGAACTTATCATGCTAAAAGAAGTAAGTTGTGTCATGTTAGCTGTATCAGGATTTAATGCAGTATTCCAGCCAGATAACAGTAGGCTGTCTGACAGTAAAGTGTACTTAAATTAAAAGCCTAATCACAAGGAAGAACAGAAGGATAAATTGAATTCTAGTTTCTAAAAGCCAACCAGCCATAGAGGTGCACATTTTAATTTCGCTTTCTTCTGTGACACACTAACAGAAATGATATGGAGCATGGCTGTTGTAGCTCAAGCAAGAGTTGCTCTCAGTGTGTGTCTCTCCACACAACTACTTTATTTAAGTTAGCAGCAGTTAGGCAATGATGTAGGTTGTTTCTCCCAGAAGATGACATCTAGACTTGAATCATGTAAAAGGTAAAGGGACCCCTGACCATTAGGTCCAGTCGTGACCGACTCTGGGGTTGCGCCGCTCATCTCGCTATATTGGCCGAGGGAGCCGGCATACAGCTTCCGGGTCATGTGGCCAGTATGACTAAGCCGCTTCTGGCGAACCAGAGCAGCGCACGGAAACGCCGTTTACCTTCCCGCTGGAGCGGTACCTATTTATCTACTTGCACTTTGACATGCTTTTGAACTGCTAGATTGGCAGAGGCAGGGACCGAGCAATGGGAGCTCACCCCATCGCGGGAATTCCAACCGCTGACCTTCTGATCGGCAAGTCCTAGGCTCTGTGGTTTAACCCATTAGGTATTTTGATGGCTTTTGCTGGTCCCAGAAATTCATATTCACATTTCGCTTCTAAAAGTGCAATGGCAGCTTTCACAGTCAAAAGAAGCCTAGCTTTTACCATACTTTCTGAACATGTTGCTGGGATAAGCTTAGAATTTTTGGAAATCAACTCTGATGGTTACGGTTTCAGCAGGTAGAAAATAAGAATAATCAGCTAAAGAGGTTCTGAAATGCTGAACATACTGCCAAAATCTCAGATAAAATGTGCTTGTATAAATTCAGTTATATATCAGAACACTTCAGGATACTCAGGGCCACAGGGGGCTGATTCCTAAGTTCCTGTTGTGGCACAAGAGATGCCTCTTCCATGTAGCCAAATCCCATACCACACTGGTATACTCTTTAAGCAGGAATTCCTTGAGCTGTATGAAAGATGCTGTAATAACCAGAGGACCACATGCTGTAATGGCACAGGACAGATCAGCCCACATATATGAAACTGATGAGGTACGTGCATTTTACAGTTCAATGGTTCCAAATTTCTGGCTGTTTATCTTGGTATGAATGAATAAAACACATACAGACTGCAACTTCAGTTTAGTAAAGGTACCCCTGCCCGTACGGGCCAGTCTTGCCAGACTCTAGGGTTGTGCGCTCATCTCACTCTATAGGCCGGGAGCCAGCGCTGTCCGGAGACACTTCCGGGTCACGTGGCCAGCGTGACAAGCTGCATCTGGCGAGCCAGAGCCGCACACGGAAACACCGTTTACCTTCCCGCTAGTAAGCGGTCCCTATTTATCTACTTGCACCCGGGGGTGCTTTCAAACTGCTAGGTTGGCAGGCGCTGGGACCGAACGACGGGAGCGCACCCCGCCGCGGGGATTCGAACCGCCGACCTTTCGATCGGCAAGTCCTAGGCGCTGAGGCTTTAACCCACAGCGCCACCTGCGTCCCTTTAACTTCAGTTTAGGGCAGCTTATATAAAGCACTTATGTCATGTCCCAAACCCTAGCAGAGGCCAAACTTCTGACACAGTGGAGGAGAAACCAGGTGGATCAACACAACCAGCAAAGCACAACCTGAGCTTGTCAAGCCAGGAGTCCCTTGGCTCAGAGACTCCTGAATGAGGACTCCAATAAACAATATTTCATTAAATAGATTCTCCTGCTGCCCACTTTCAGATTAGTGCCGGATCATAAGGTCGGCCAATACACAAGCTGGCAGCTGACCAAGAGGCAACTGAGTGCTAGGTTCCCAAGCCAGAAGATTGTCCCTTTAGGGTTCTCCACTTTTGAGAAAGGAGGCGGAGCCCAGGAGGTTCAGCCTGGCGAAAGAGAGGTAAAAGCTGTGATTCTGATAACAGAAAAAAGTATATACCATATTTTTCCATGTATAACATGCCCCCGTGTATAAGACGGCCAATCCCACGTGCCCCCAATGCACTACCTGTGTATAAGGCACCTCCCCTCCAATTTTAAGTCTTCAATTTTTAGGAAAAAAACCTAGTCTTATACATGGAAAAGTACGGTACTTTGAACTATCCAAGGTCCTCCAAGTCCAGCCTGATCTTATCTGCCTGCAGCTCCAAGCTTTTGCTACTTGGGAATATGCTGCCAGGAGAGGAACATTTAAAGATATCTTATCATATCCATTTTCTAGTCAGATGCAAACATCACCTTTTCAGAGTCTTCACGGATACACCAACACAGCTATACATATTTTGCACACAACCAAGTGAAACGATCTTAAATGACATACACAGACATTTGGATTGCTGCCCAGAGGGTGGTGAGGGCTCAAGGGCTTTTCCATGAGCTCCATGCAGAAGATCCTAATCTCAAAATAAACAAATATATAAGTAAGTTTGGCCAGTACCCCCAATACATACCATGTTATATAGATTGCGCCGAATCTGCCGCATCATTCCTGCATATGCTGGTTTAAGAAGTTCCTGAAAACTTGTAGGCCACTTGTCATAGATGTGATCTGTTTCTAAGTCATTGATCCACTGAAACACAGAAGTGATTGCCAGAGTTACCATTAAAACCAAACATTATAACCAGTTACATGATGACAACATTCTCACATGGCTGTAAGGCTGACGTCTTAAGCAATTAAGTGCTTCTTTGTTACCTCAGCTACGTGGGAATTACCTTTCCCTAAGTAACCAACCACATAGTTGGGAGAACATTTAAATACGTAGCCATGTAGGTAAGGACCAATTGCAAGTGTCCTATTGACCATGAAATTCTGTAGGAAAGACTGAAGTTCCTGGCCTCTATTCTACGTATTTTATGTTTAGGGATGCTTTTAATGTTTGATGGATTACTGTATTTTAGTATTTTGTTGGAAGCCGCCCAGAGTCGCTGGGGAAGCCCAGCCAGATGGGCAGGGTATAAATAATAAATTATTATTATTATTATTATTATTATTACTACTACTACTACTACTACACACTTGCCTGAGAAGTTAAGTATCATTTACTACAATGGGACTTACTTCTGAAAAACAACTTCAGTGTGACTCTGTTAACACTAAGAAATAAATGTGTTCAGTTTAGGTATCAGATATTTCAACAAAAAGGGAAAGGGATAAAGAGGGGTCGTAATTTCTTTGTAAGACAAAAGTAAAACAATAGAGTATATTATCTGATATGCCAAACAGTGTTACTGCTTAAAGTTTTCTCTTGTCTAACTTAATATGGTACTAAAAAGGATTTTCAGAGCTTAAGAAGCACTTTATAGACTTTCTCCCTTCAGGGAACACTTTCATTGACTTGTCTGCCAGAGAATACTTGATAAATTTCCCTCGGAACCCTGCCCTGCACAATACATTGCAAAAGATTCTGACAGCTGTTCAAGAGTATGTATTCATTTCACAACAGACCTTTCCAGGGTTGTTGAACTGGAAGTATAGACTGGGTTCATACCATGGTATGTGCTAACCATGGTTAAGAACACCCCCCCCCCTCCAACTCAGCTCCACCCAAGGCATGATGGATAACAGCAACAACCAGGGAAAAGAAAGTCATAACATCTTACAAGGACAGAAAGAAACACCACAGACAGAATAATTGCCACACACAGGAATAACAAGGATATAGTTTGAGTTCCTTGCTTGTAGTTTTATAAATCATTTAATGTGTTAACATGAATAGAAGTTATTAATATTGCAGTTGTTGTATAAGGGATTATTATTATGACTGGAATGTAATGGAAATTATAAGATTTTGGAACGCAGAAATTAAGCAAATTATCAAGTCATCAATTCTAGAACGCATGGGGCCACTTAATCTAAATTATATAATTTGGTATTTGAATAAACTGTATTATAAATTAGTATTGTTATAATGAGGCTATTATTGGATTATAATTGAAAACTAATAAAAATTATTATAAAAAATGGGGGGAACCCACATTTAAGTTTTCAATCTTATAACAAGCAGACCAAACATTTTTTTTACATGCTTGTCTGCTTTTGCTTCTTCTTTGCCCAGGATTCAACTTTATAAGTTCATTAGGATCGCTCCTGTCTCTGCGGTACAGCAACCTCCTGAAGTGGAGCAATGCTGTCACTGCCCAAATAGTTTAAGGTCTGGGGTCAAACACCTAAACAGACCATCGTTTTAAATGACAGTGCCATCCGTTCCTAGCCAGCAAAGCCAATGCATAGGGATAATGGGAATTTGTTTTATTCATTTAAAATATCTTTAACCAGCCATTCATTGCAAAGTTGCAATCCAGCAATATCTGGAAGGCACCACTTTGGTTATCCCAGTCTGGAATATATCTAAGCAGCTCTGTTGCAGGGTGAGACCAGCAGAGGTGAGCAAACTGCCTTTCAGAGAAGCTTGTCAACCATTACTGAAATTCACTTAAAGGCATGCCCAGCCAGAGAAAACCATACGAAGAACTGGCAGGGCTTTTTTTCAGCCAGGACTCACCGAAACTTAGTTCCGGCACCTCTCAGTTGGGTGCTACTGCCGTTATAAGAGAACAAGGGAGGGATTCATGGTAAGTTCTGGCACCTCTTTTTCTAGAAAAATAGCACTGAGAATTGGTACCTACAGTCTGCGTTTAACTATTAGTAAGAAAATGTATACACTGGAAATCTCATGACAATCATTTAGGGAACAGAGAGAGAGAGAGAGCGCTGACAAGAAAGTTAATACTGGTCTACTGTACTCTGAATAGACTTAATTGCATGCAAGTTTTTAACAAATTACACAGTTTAAGGAAACACACATTAAACATATAAAGGAGAAGAGGGTTTCGTCCCCTTGGGAACTCAACGATATATAATGCAGTAAGCAAGTAATTAAAAATTTCTCAGCTACTGCCTGTGTTCATATACTTGTCAATAAAGGGTAATTTAGCATCCTTTGAGGTTCTTCCCTTCAATTTCTTCCTCACTTACAAGGAAGTTTGTCATTTGATACTGAAGACCGTTTATCCACTGATGTACACTTACAGTTAATAAATGCAGAATTTAATATGGCAACTACACATAGGAATAAGGTTTTGTTTTTTTGCAGTTGCACCTGAATCTTACCCAGTGGTTATCAAGTTCACCAGTAGAACTTTGTAAGAAACCTGAATCTTAGCAATTAATAAATCTCTTTCCTTCAAACAAATTCATAAAATATACAAAGCTAATTTTCTTACTTAGGGGTGTGTATTTCAGTAGAGGGTTGTATACTACTAATAATAATAATAAAGATTGCTTGGTATAGGACTCATTTTTTATTGAATGTCATTTGCAATATTTGCCTAGAGCAGTAGATCCCAAACTTTATTTCCCATGGAGCATATGAAAATTTCTGATGATCTTTTAGCTGGGGCAATTAGAATAAGATCCACTATTTGACTATTGATTCAAAACCCTAAAATGTATTTTATATAATTGACATTTTATTTCTATTCTTTGTATATTGCATTGTTATTTTATTGTTCTGGCCGATGGCTGATGCAAATAAAGATTCACTCATTCTGATGATCTTGGTGGAGCAATTGGTGATTTTTCTGCCTCTTGCAGTATTTGTAATGCACTGCGTAAGATGCTGTATGATTTTTGTGGGAAACTGCTAGCTTGGCAGTTGAAGAAAAGACAAAAACTAAATACAGTTACTAATTTAGATATTGAAGGAAGAAACATTCAGAACCCCGTGGACATTAGAAAATGTTTCCAGAGATATTTTAAAAAATTATATACACAAGGGCCACAAGATGAGGCTGGGATTAAACAATTTTTGGAAAAGAATGGACTGCCAAAATTGTCACAAGAAAACAGATCAATCCTGAATTGTAAAATAACACCACAAGAGATTGAAACTGCCATTCAGAACATGAAATTGGGCAAATCTCCAGGGCCAGATGGGCTGACCTCCAAGTATTACAAGATATTGAAGGACTATTTGATACAACCGCTGATGGAGGTCAGCAATGAAATTATGGAGGGGAAGAAGGCGCCGGAATCGTGGAAAGAAGCCTTTATCACTTTGATACCAAAATCGGAAGCTGAAAAGACACAACTTAAGAACTACCGTCCCATCTCCCTCTTAAATGTGGATTACAAAATATTTGCAGACATTCTAGCAAGTAGATTTAAAAAAGTTTTAAACGAAGTAATCCATAGAGACCAGGCAGGCTTTCTCCCAGGTAGACATCTGTTTGCTAACACAAGGAACATTATTGACATTTTGGAACTCTTGCAAACAGATGTCAACATAAAAGCAGTGCTAATTTTTATAGATGCGGAGAAGGCCTTCGACAACATCTCTTGGAAATTTATGAAAGGGAACTTAGAAGGGATGGGAGTGGGACGGGGTTTTGAAAATGGGATTGACGCAATTTATTCAGAACAAAAGGCTAAACTGATAGTTAACAATGTGGTTACAGAAGAGTTTAAAATTGAAAAAGGAACACGACAAGGTTGTCCTATTTCCCCATTGTTATTTATCTCAGTTCTGGAGGTGCTCTTGAACATGATTAGAGGAGACCAGTTGGTGGAAGGAATACAGGTCGGAGCGAAACAATATAAACTCAAAGCTTTTGCAGATGACCTAGTTTTGACCCTGCAGGAGCCAGAATCTAGCACGAAAAGAGTATTACAAATAATTCAAGACTTTGGTCGGGTGGCGGGATTTAAATTAAACAAGCAGAAAACTAAGGTACTGGGGAAAAACTTGACAGACGCAGAGTCAGAACGGTTTCAGAGAGAGACAGAGTTAAATGTGGTTAAGAAAGTTAAATACCTAGGGGTAAACATAACAGCAAAAAATCTGAGTCTATTTAAGGACAATTATGAGAAATGTTGGTCAGAAATTAAGAAAGATTTAGACAGGTGGACAAGACTAAAACTTTCCTTGTTAGGCCAAATTGCTGCTATCAAGATGAATGTATTGCCAAAAATGTTGTTTTTGTTCCAAACATTACAGATTGTGGATAAGACAGAGTGCTTTCGGAAGTGGCAGAGAGATATTTCTAAATTTGTCTGGCAGGGCAAAAAGCCCAGAATTAAGTTTAAAATACTAACAGATGCGAAAGAAAGAGGGGGCTTTGCCCTGCCAGACTTAAGGCTCTACTATGAATCGGCAGCTTTCTGCTGGTTAAAAGACTGGCTACTTCTCGAGGACACTGATGTGTTGGATTTGGAAGGTTTTAACAATGCTTTTGGTTGGCATGCATATTTATGGTATGACAAGGTAAAGATTAACAAGGTTTTCAAGAATCATATTGTCAGAAAAGCAGTGTTTAATGTCTGGACAAAATATAAAGACTTACTGGAAAACAAAACACCAAGGTGGCTTTCACCATTGGAAGCTAAGGCCAGAAAAAGACTCAATATGGAGGCCAATTGGCCAAAGTATTGGGAAATACTAGAAAAAGATGGAGATAATTGGAAATTGCAGAGTATGGAGAAAATGAGAGATAAAGTGCGAGACTGGTTACACTACGCTCAGATTAAGGAAGTTTTTAAACTTGACAAGAAGTTAGGATTCCAGGTGGAGAAATCGAAGTTGGAAACGGACTTGTTAGAACCTAAGACTAAGGTACTTTCAAGAATGTATAACTTGCTGTTAAAATGGAACACACAAGACGAAACGGTAAAATCAGCCATGATAAAGTGGGCACAGGACATTGGGTATAATATTATGTTTGAGGACTGGGAAAGGCTGTGGACTACTGGGTTGAATTTTACTGCTTGTAATGCTTTGAAAGAAAATGTAATGAAAATGATATACAGATGGTACATGACCCCAGTCAAACTTGCAAAAATATACCACTTGTCTGATAATAAGTGTTGGAAATGTAAAGAAAAGGAAGGAACATTCTTCCACCTCTGGTGGACCTGCCCTAAAGTGAAGGCTTTCTGGGAAAAGATATATAATGAACTGAAAAAGGTATTTAAGTATACCTTTTCTAAGAAACCAGAGGCCTTTCTTCTGGGTATGGTAGGCCAAGGGTGGTAAAGAAGGACCGAACATTCTTTATGTACGCAACAACAGCAGCAAGGATACTTCTCGCGAAGCACTGGAAAACTCAAGATCTACCCACACTGGAAGAATGGCAGATGCAACTGATGGACTATATGCAACTGGCTGAGATGACCGGCAGAATCCGAGATCTGGGAGAGGAGACGGTAGAAGAAGACTGGAAAAAATTTAAGACTTACTTGCAAAAACATTGTAAACTGTATGAATGTTAAGCAGGATGCTTGATTATAAACAATTTGGCACCATTAAAATAGATGATGCGAAGTAGGAAGATAAGTTAAAATGTGTGAAAAAACAACTTTTATTCTGGATAAACATTTGATGAAATTTAATTGATAATTAGACAGTAAGGATGGAAGTAAGGTGATAATTTGCTGGATTAATTATTTATTTTTAACGTGGAAGGTAGGGGCGGGAGATGTGAGGAGGTCACAAGAAGATAAGAAAGTATGCTATGTTTTGTTATAATTTTGTTTGTTTATTATACTGTAACCTAAAAACTTTAATAAAATATTTATCAAAAAAAAAAAAAGATGCTGTATGATTTTGAACTGTATTTCATTGCTTCTTTTAATTCTTATATTGTATTTTATTGTATTACGATTTGCACTCCATTGAATTCAAATTGCAAATCAAGGAAATACAATATACAAAAGAAGCAACAGAAACACAATTAAAAATCAACATGAGTATGCAGAGATGCCAAGTACAACTTGAATGCGGATCACTGGTGGTCCATGGACTACAGTTTGGGGACCCCTGCCTTAAAGCAAGAGTGGCCCTTCTGCAAATGGAAGTGCTCATTGTTGTTGTTGCTGCTGCTGCCTGTACTACCCTGTAAAAGTTCTATACAAGTTATGCTGCATAAAATGGGCATACACCCATTTTACACACATCATAGAGAGACAGACAATAAACTCAGACATATTTCACTGCTTGCTGAGAGTGGTTTCGACAAGCAACTCAAGGGCTTCATGCAAACGTAGCCAGAAAGCATAATGTAGCAGCACTTAAGAAAATGAATGCAGCCTATCCCGTATCTGTCATTTAAACTAAGCTAGAAAAACAGTTAAAGTCTTAACTATACTTTGTTCACTTCATGAATCAGAATACCTACTGGACCTTTTAGTGTTAAAGCCTTAAATGCAGTTTTCAAGAGAGGCGGCCATGTTATTTAGATGCAGCAAAAAACAACAAAGGGTGGAATTCAACTGATATTTACTTAGGGCAGACCTGCTAAAATAAATGAACATGAGAAAGCTAGGTTTATTCATTTCAAGAGGTCCACTCTTGAATAAAACTTAGATGAGTATCACCCCAAGGGTCTCATGGGACTTTAAAAGTTGTTAGCTAGATAAAGAAATTAATATGGTTACTTACTACTATTGAAGAGTGACGAATGTCTAATGCATAAGCGTCATCATCAGAATGGGCATCTAATCTCATTATTTTACTAAGAACATCTCCTTTAATTCCAAGGGAGTGAAGTCCACGCATTGCTTTCTCTTCTACCTTCAAAGTTTCTAAAAGACTATTTAAAAAAACCCACAAATATATGATTTAGTTAAGCAACTCTTTTGTTCTTCCTCTCAATTTAAATTAAACAAAACAATCAGATTGCTATACTTAATATTCTTTTTAGGACTGTCAATATAGAGCTAACCACAGCTTAGCTGGTCTATGGATTAAGTCACTGGGCCTTTTCGGTATAATTAATATAGGAAAGTTGCATAACTAATACTTTACCTAAATGGATCATGAAGATTCAAATCCATACGAAGACCATTTAGAAATAAACGTGCTTCACCAGGCTGAAGTTCAAGAGCTTCATTCAGATGCTAGAAAGATAGTAAAAAGAAGAAGTCAAGCTTAGTATAATTTAGTCAAGACAGTTTAAAAACCCATCTTCAGAATATCCTCATCTTTCAAATCTGAAATCTATGTGAACAAGATGACATTAATTTTGGCTGGATAAAATTTAATCTTCTAATTATTCTTGTAGATAAGGGATTTCTCCTCTTCTACAGAGTAGGCTTGATGCTAACTATTCATGAACATCATTCATCCTTTCTTACATATTCACTGCTCACAGAAAGGAAAAACCAAATAACCTGAAAGACAGGCTTTAACTTAGTTTGACAAGTTATATTTCAGGAAATTAGGTTTAGCATTTGTTGCTGAACACACCAGAGCCTTTGAAGCAAACCAATTCTTGCTCGCTATACAGGGGAAACTCAAAAAATTAGAATATCGTGGAAAAGTTCATTTATTTCAGTAATTCAACTTAAAAGGTGAAACTAATATACGAGATAGACTCATGACATGCAAAGCGAGATATGTCAACCCTTTATTTGCTATAATTGTGATTATGGCATACAGCTGATGAAAACCCCAAATTAACAATCTCAGAAAATTAGAATATTGTGAAAAGGTGCAGTAGCTATTCAATCCATAACACCTGCAATGGGTTCCTGAGTCTATAAATGGTCTCTCAGTCTGGTTCAGTAGGAAGCACAATCATGGGGAAGGCTGCTGACCTGACAGTTGTGCAGAAAGCCATCACTGAGACCCTCCATAAGGAGAGAAAGCCTCAAAAGGCAATTGCAGAAGAAGTTGGATGTTCCCAAAGTGCTATGCGCCATAATAAGGTTGGCAGGAGCTGGGACAGAGCAACGGGAGCTCACCCCGTCACAGGGATTCAAACTGCCAACCTTCCGATCAGCAAACCCAAGAGGCTCAGTGGTTTACTTTAGACCATATCGCCACCCAGCATGACTGAACAGCTTCTGGAGCAACAGGACACCGTGACGGAAACCAGAGCTCACGGAAATGCTGTTTACCTTCCCACTGCAGCGGTACCTATTTGTCTATTATAATATCGCCACCCAGCAGCGGATTCAATGTGCTGCCTGGCAGTGCCTACACTGGAGCTAGATGACATTTCTCTATTTTCCCACAATAAAGAACATTTACATGGTGTACTATGAAGCAGTCTCAGTTAAAGCAACTTTTAAAGAGAAGAAATAGGATACTAAGCACCATTTGATCATGAAAACGATTATCTGCTACAGCAGGGGTAGCCATTTTGCGCTCCAGATGTTGTCAGATTTATCTCCTATCACCCCTGACCATTGCCCATGTTGGCTGGGACTGATAGGAGTTGGAGTCCAACATCTGGGGGGGCACCTCAGACTGGGGTGCAGCTCACAAATATACTGTACTGTTCTAACTTTAATTGACTTGGCTCTTAGACTGTATGGGCCTCAGCAATTGCCCTGAGCTGATCTAGTTAGTCCAAGTCTAGATGGGCTTGTTTGAGTGTTAATCTTGATGTCTTTGATTGTTTTTCCTTTTGAAATTTTATTGAATATTCTTGACTTAATATATTACTGTTATAATTGGTTCCATAGAAATGTGTTTAGATAATATATTGCCAGTGTTGAATTTGATTTTAAAATTCTTCATTCCTGCTCTGTTTTGTATGCACACTGATGGCCGTGTGAACACACCCCTCTCTTGGTCCTTTCTCAATCTGTAAAATGGGAGTTACCAAAATGGCCTACGCTACAATGTGCACCAAAGGCAAATAAGATCAGGGACAATCTCTCTCTGTGTCTCTATATACATACAAACAGGGCTGGTCTAATGGAAACATTTTTTCACTGGACCTGGTACAATGGCTGTACACTTATAACGTGGAGCATACAACGTTTGTTTTTAGACAGCTAACCTGAGCAAAAACAAAAGGAAGGCTTCCTTAGGTGAGTCTGTAACTTGAAATGTTAATTAGGCTTCAACAACTACATCCTTCCGTAACATAGCTACTTATCCTTGAAGGCTATTCTGACTGCATCTAATCACCATATACTTTTCAGTCCTTAATAGGCTTTAGCCTCTTTCCCATATTGCATTTTCTATTCAACTTACATTATCTTAGAGGAGAATCTTTCAGTTCTGCACAGCTTGAAATCATGCCTCTCCTGCTGCTAGACGAATATCCTGTAGCTCAAAAATGTGCATGACAATTTATTCTGCTCTACTACTGATGTCTGAATAGCTGCCAGATTTATAGACAGACAAAAAAGACAAAGAGATTGCTTTCTCACCACTGCATTCGTGTGCGCCCAAAGCATTTTTTCATGCGGTCCTTAGAGATAATAACCTTATGTATGCAGCCAGGTTAAATTTGCACAGATTAACCCCAAATTTCATTATCTATATTCAAAGAACTAACCCACGAGGTCACGGTTTTGCCAAAAACCTGACGTCATCCGATACACTCAGAAGTGCCATCAAACACTAGCAAAAGGCCCCTTGCAACGTTTGGCTGTGAAAACCCCACGTTTCAAAGGCCTCCACAAAAAGCCCTTGCAGCCTGACTTGCAGGGTCACAATTTCCCCGAAAACCCAATGTCATCTGATTCACTCGAAAATGGTGCCAGACACCTGCAAATTGGCTCTTGCAACGTTTGGCAGTGCAAACTGCATGTTTAACGGTAGGCCATAAAATGAGCTCTTGGCGCCCTGATCTGCAGGGGTCACGGTTTCGCCAAAATGTTGTCTGATTCATGAAATTTTGTTTTATTACTTCTCTTCAAAATTATGTTTGAATTCTCTGATGTAGTAAGTTTAAAATACGGATGTCAGGGAACTGCCATCGGAGCCTAGAGTGGAGGTAAGGCTCCCCAACGATGCAGGAGAAGGGACCAGCAGGGGGAGAGAGAACACTTCCTTTGAGGAAGGGAATAGGAGTGACACCAGGAAGCAAGGGGAAACTGCGGAGAGAGGGCTCCAAGACTCTTCCACAGAGACTAGCGGGGAGAGCACAGGACCTCCGTTGGGCATGCCCACTCTGCTCAGGAGACTTCCACGCAGGGAGGCGAGGAGGAGACTTGCTGTCGAAGAGTTTCTATGTTGGAAGAAGTTCAGGAAACGCCCACTGACGGATTCTGCCAGCGACTGACACAGCCATGGAGAAAGGGCTGTCCAGCCAGGGAAAGGTTTTGCCAGGCTACGTTGCCTAGAACAGTAGCACCCTTTACGCACAAGCAACCCCAATATCCTTTACAACAGAGAACCAACTTATACACACACACACACACACACACACACACACACAAAATACCCCATTAGCAATTGTGTAGAACAATTTCTGCAAGTATATTAGACTCCTGTCTACTCAAACATTACTTTGAATGTGACACTTGAGACAGAAAGACTCAAAAGTTCTTCTGTTAGGTAACAGGATTTTCCAAAAGAGAGCAACTGGCATCAAAATGTATTCAGGTCTATTTTAAGAGCTATTTAACTACCAGTACTTGATACCATTTTACACTGCGTTTGTGCAGCTGCTGCAGTCTAATAAAAATGAGTAATCTGCAGTAAGGCAAAAAAAGAGAGAGAGAGAGAGAAAAAGAGGAAAGAGGAAAACTTAAATAGGAATTCACTAAAAGATGCTTATTAAAAAGATCAAATGGCTCAAATAAAAAAAATAGCTCCAGGGCTTTAAAAGAAGTATTTGTTTTAGATCAGCCACGTAAAAGTGTCAGGAAAGCATGAAAAACACTGTGCTATTTAATAGTGATTTTCATGGGCATGAAGTTCAGTACTGCTTTGAAGCATCTACAAAATGAAATTTATAGCCTGGTGCTAAGCATCTTTACTCAGAAAATAATAAGCCCCACTGAATTCAATGGGACTTACTTCTTATAACCAAGCTTAGAACTGAAGTCTGGATCAAATATTCCCCTTCTATGCGTGGATTTTGCTAGTTTTGGTATTTTTGAAAGACTATTCTGAAAACCAGTAATGCCAGCAGCATAGAAGAGAAACATCTTAGCACAACCCATTCTGAAGCAGTCTCAGTGGAGTGATCAGAAATCCCAAATAAAAAATAAATAGTTGCCAGCAGAATATAGAGCAGTAGCTATGTTAGTTTCTTCCAGAAAACACAAAGAGTTTTGTTGCGGCACCTTCTAGGTTAGCAGATTTATCAGGGCATAATGAATCAATAAGCGGGTTCTAGCTCATGAATTTTTTCACCACGATAAATCTGTTAGCCTATAAGGTGTCAAAGCCTCCTTGAGAGCATTCAGACGTAAAAGCTAAATGCTGAGAAGAAGCAGGCAGGCATTTCGGGCTTGTATTGTCCCTTCTTCCCTTTGCAGATGACAATCTTTCAGTCAGAGTTTAACAAAATTCGTTCGAATCTGGAAATCTATGGCTTCCCACTAACCCCAGGCTAGAATTTTCTAATGTTGGGTACATCTCTATTCGCACAAGATGCAGGGAGAGCTGCTAAGCTTGGGCAGCTTTAAAAGAAGATTAGACAAATTCATGGAGGTTAAGGTTACCAAACATGATAGCTATGCTATGTCCTGCCTCCTCAGTCAGACGCAGAATGCCTCTGTATACCACAAAGTGGGAAGAGTGCTGCTGAACTCAGGTCCCATTGGTGCATTTCCCATATGCATCTGTTTGGCCATTGTGAGAACAGAATGCTGGAGCTCTGGGCCTTTCACCAACAATTAAGAGGTCTTACCAAGATTTATTCAATAATTCACAGAGAACGATGAAGGAATGCAGTCTGTCTCCCGTCAATGGCGTTGCTCCAACGGAGCTCCTTCCCCCTCCCTTCCTAGCAACAGCACTTCCCCTGATGGTGACTGCTGGGAGCTAACTGTCTCTTGAGTCCTTTGCTCTTCCACTTTCAGTGCACGCCAGGTTCTGGGAGAAGGGGGGGTAAAAATGCTCTCCAGTGATAACGTGTCAGCTGGCTGCTCTGTCTCTGTCTCCCCCTTTCTCTTTTCCCAACACTTCCCAACTCTTCTGACTTGTGATCTTCCTCAAACCACGGCTGTAATTCAATACAACCTTCCTCTTCTCTGGGAAGTTCAGGAGGGAGGGGAGGTCTCCACCATTCCTCCTCAGTCTTGTCCCCCTCAGTCCAGTCCCCAACACCCAGCTGGGCTTTTACGTTATTATCAGGATACGGCATGCAAGCCTGAGGCTCATACCTGCACAATCTTGCAGCACGAAACCATAATTTAGCACATGGGTGGGGAACCTGCCGACCCTCCCAGCTGTTGTTGGACGACTGCAGTTCCCATCAACCCTGACCAGTAGCCATATTGGCTGGGGCTGATAGAATCCAACAACAACACATGGATTAATTTTTTGCAAGATATGAATGTTTCCACGAGGGAGGTAGGGAGGAAGAAAAGTGCAGACCTAGCAGCAGATAGGTAGTGTTGGATAAAAAGGGTGGGTCTTTCTGACAAGTTTATCAAAATGGATAAGGGACCCTCCAAAAGCACATAGATAATTTTGAGGACCTGAAGTTGTCTACATGCTATGCACAGAGAAGGGAGGGGTGAGACCTTGGGGTTGGTCCATAACCTAACTCTGCCTGCATCACTGGTACTGCACCCTTGACAACCACAAGTTCCTCAAATAAAGGGTGGTCAAGGAATTTAATGAATAAATAAAATTCTTTACCCCATTGTGAGTAGCAAAACAAGCATATTTTATATACCGGTAAATCAGGGAAGAGTGGAAAGAGGTGTCAATGACTGTCTGATTCACTATACATATAAGAAAATGAATCCTGAACGAAGCAATCTTCACAAACATGGGGCTGTTTGGAATGAGACAGTAGCTGAAGATTACTGACTTGATCTAGGATGATAGGGATGAAGCTGAGGAAGGCTTATATTTTAAAACATACTCTGAAGAACACAGATCTCAAATGACCCATGTGTTAAGGGCAAAAGCTCAAAATATAATTCTGCAATACATTAAAATACACTATCGACAGAGCAAATTATCCTGCATGCAGACATTTGGGTACTGAACTGATCTATGTTCAACTCCAGTGGTCAATTAAAGCAGCTTAGTTCAGAGTTAAAGCTCAAGCCCTGAAGGTAACATCTGAACATTAATGGTCTAAGTTTCATCGCTCACTGTAGCTGGAAGGGCTGCTCAGCAAATCAGGACATGCCATGCAATATTTGAGCAGAAGGGGTCATGAGAAGCTAAGGACTGCAACTGATGAGCAAGTCCGCATTTAGAAATTCTGCTGCTTACATTTTTAAGTTACATCATAATACGTTTATCTCCCAGCATTGTATAATATATGCATCTCTCGACACAGTATAATCAACTGCATTATTTTGTATAATAAAAAGAACAGTAACAAACCTGTTGATTTTCCTTTATTTCTTTCCGCATTTGCAGGTTCACTAACACTTTGGTCAGGGATCTGAAAAAGCCAGAGATCATGAACTGTTCTGTGTTTCGGCATTTCCCCCACCTATTCTGGGGGAATAAAGTACTCCATAGACAAAGTTTTGCATGCAATGATATCCCCTCAATATATCCCCTCTAACACCCAACCACAATGAAACAGCTGGTTTAAGCTAACCAATTTGTAGTTAACTTCTGAACTGGAAACTACAATTAGCTTGAGCTATGGTTTCTTAAACTAGGCTTTTCCCTCTGTGGCAGGTGAGGGCATGTTCAAACCAGATGTCCACTCTCAATTTCTTGCTATCTAGTAAGACCTGTAAACTTTTCTTCTAAAGTAAAATGACTATTAAAGATTTTTAGAAAAGACTTTTGATAGACAGTGTGGTACTTGACTTAAGCATCATTTTCAACAGTTGTTATATGCTCAAATACAAATTTTATGCAAGATGTATTCAAACAGGAACAAAGAAAAGTTATTCAAGTTTCTGCCAGACGACAGAAGTTACTGCTCGTGTCTAACATCAACCATGCACTCTCATCTCCGCCTTATTCTGTCTAAGGGTTGTCACAATAGTTCAAAAACTACAGCCAGCTGTGCCTTGCAATGTCAAATAAGTATGGGATTGTATTGGGGATTCAAGGCATCGCAGACTGTAACAATAGTGTATTGTTTGATAGAACAGTAGGGAAAGAAATTTGGCTTTTGTAGCAGAGGGAGACCCACAGGGTTGTCATAAGGGTAAATGAGATAAGAACTGTAAAGCATTTTATCCATGAAAAACGCTATAAAAAGTTCACTTACAATCATGACAATGTCTGCTAATGAAGGAAATCTCGACATGATACCAGTTGTATAAACACTGGAAAGCTAGCTTCGCTGCTCTTATGAGTAATCTCTTGGTATAGAAAGATGACAAAGAACTGCCTATTATTGTGGCATGAATGATCATGGCTATGTTTCTTAATTTGACAACTTGCACCCAATGGGCCATTTAAGACTTAGCATTTGGATTTACATACTGGATCCTTCCATCTGTTGAATTCTATTAACTGTTGTTTAGGCTTGTTAAAAACCACTTTCCTGGTCACATGATAAGAATCAACTTCAAGGCAAGATGTGGGGTAGATCCTGATTTTCTTTATTGACACAGACAACTTACATAGATATATGACAGCAGTCAGGCTAGCAACTTTTGTAGAGTTTATTGGAAGGCTACTCTAGCATATTGTAGTGGACAACAGTGCTGAACTTGGACTGGAGAGACCAGGCTAAAATTCCACTTGGTCAGAAAGCTCAACTCAGACCAGTCACTTTCTACCTCCTAGGGTTGGTGAATGAATAAAATGAAAGAAAGTCACATCTGCTGCCCTAATAACTTTGGAAGAAGGGTGGGATAAAAATGTAAATAAAGTTTCAAAAGAAACTCTCAAAATCCAGACATTCATTAATATGCAGTGGTACTTCGGTTTACGAACTTAATCAGTTCCGGAAGTCCTTTCTTAAACCAAAACCATTCTTAAACCGAGGCGCACTTTCCCTAATGAGGCCTCCCGTCGCCGGTGCCCTTCCACCGCGGATTCCGTTCTTAGACTGAGGTAAAGTTCTCAAACCAAGACACTTATTTCCGATTTTGCGGAGTATGTACACCAAATTGTTCTTAAACCGGACTGTTCTTAAACCGAGGTACCACTGTAATTGGAAATAACATTAGCCTTACCTGGCCTTGACTGGGAAGTTCTGTGCAATGTCCTTCATGACTTTTAATGCATTATAAGCGGGCACAGAGAGAATTCGAGAGGCTGCTTGCAAACTAATGTCTACAAGAAAACAAAGCATTCACTGAAGAACCTTAGGTATGGATTTAAAACATTTGTTAATAGCAAAACCTGTCTGGCTTTAATTAACTTGAAGGTCAATGTTTATCTAACGATCAGCTACAGTTATGTTGGCAGGCAGAATTTAGGGAGAGAAGGGAAGAGGAAATCCTAAGGTCAACTCCCAATTCCTTGACTATGGTCACATGCCTGGAGCATATATATGTTGACTAGACAGGGGCACATAAGTAACAACTGTAAATAGAATTATATTCATCATTAGCCAATCAGGTCATTTGCACACACTGTTAATAAAAGCAACAAGATAAGCCACAAGGTAAATATATAAAAAATACATTAATTCATCGTAACATATGATTAAAAACCGTACCATTTCAACTACTCTTTGACACATCTTATCGTCTGAAATGGTAAGTGACTTCCACTGCCCTAAAGCCAATTTAACAATTGCAGCAGTCCTATTTCTATACACATTTTCCATAAAAGCACTCACAGGCTACTATGATAGTACACAGCAGTAATGCAAGTTATAATTGTCACCATGACCAGAGATAGAAAACAGTCTGAACTATACTACAGATGCAGCTGTAATTAAATAATTTCCTTAGGTGTAAGATGTGGCAGCAGGTTAAGCTTGTTTTGTCTGATGATGTTTCAAAGGCTCTAGTCAGAAAATTATTCCGCTTATGAATGAGCTGCAGGCTTGCACATACACTGCTTCCCTTTCCGACTCCTGTTTAGTGCTGACCCCCAATTTACTTCAGAGCAGCAAGGGTTGGTACTTGCTCTTCCAGCCTAACCACAGTTTGTCATGATATTTGAACTGGCAAACCACAGAGAGTGCTGTACACACATGTCAGGTGTATACTTTGGCAATCTTTGTTAACATGGCGTCCTGAGCGAGCCCAAAACGTGGAACCCCAAAATTGATCTTCTCAATTATGGATCTTCTCAATTTTGTGCCTCCGTGGCTCAGCACCCTGTGTGGGGCAACTGCCTGCACCGCCCTAACTCAGACGCGGCACATGTCTTGTTTCCAGTTCTCCAAATGGTTTGTAGGAATGTCTGAACTTAGCCACTGAACTATTGGTAATTTTTAGTTATATACACTCCAATAGTTTTACAGTCATTTTAACATTTCAAAATTCGACTTCCTTCTTCCTCTTTCTGCGGTTCCTTAAATTTATATTCATCATTTCCTGCATATACTGAATTAACTTTTTTTTTATTCAACTACTTTAATTATTTACTCTTATGAAACTGCAGGTTATTACAATAATCCTGCCAATGTCCTTCTCTGTTTACAATTTATTTGTACATATCCAATACAGTGGTGCCTCGCAAGACGAAATTAATTTGTTCCGCGAGTTTTGTCGTCTTGCGATTTTTTCCGTCTTGTGAAGCACGGTGTCGGAAAAGTTTTGTAAAAGCTTCCAAAATCACCAAAGTCTTCAAAAACCTCAAAAAAGGCTACCACACCGCGTGCTATGAGTTGCTCCTCGAAGTCAAGTCGCAACTGTATTAACGGTGTTAAGAAAAAGGAAACAAACTTGCAAGACGTTTCCGTCTTGCGAAGCAAGCCCATAGGGAAAATCGTCTTGCGAAGCAGCTCAAAAAACTCTTTCGTCTTGCGAGTTTTCCGTCTTGCGAGGCATTCGTCTTGCGAGGTACCACTGTACACAATTTCCATTCTTTTATAAAAAGTTTGTAGTTTTGATGTCTTATTTTTCTGGTAAGTTTTGCCATTTCTGCATAATCCATGAGTTTCTGTATCCAGTTCTTTCCTCAGGTCTTCTTCTTTCCATTTTGGGGCCAATAACATTCTTGACGCTGCAGTCGCATACATAAATTTTACCACTGAACTGCTTCTACTCGCATTTCTGATTGTTCAAACCTCATCTGCATGCATCTGTCAGGACTGCTTGTATGTTTTGATTTGATTTGATCGGAGTGCAGAAAACCCCTAGAATTCAAGCTTTCTGAAAATTTAAACTTTCCAGAACAAGTTTCCTGATAGCCTTGAAACTGTTCTGCCAGCTGTTGCTGAAACGCAGCATAGGTGCGACACCAAATTTCCAACAGTTGGGAGAGAAGTTTCAGACTCCAATATAATTTCTTGCCACTCTCCATGAATACTAAAAATCAGAGTAAGTTAGGCAAAATAGTATTGATTATTCTAAAGCAGCAAAAAAAGAGGGGTGCTCAATTTGCATTATTTATACAGGTTACAGAATTCAGCTTATTATAGCACAGATTTTGGAACACTGGAAAACAGGAATAATAACTATAGAGGAAACACAGTAATAGCTATATTGCCCAGTTTCAAAAGGTTTCATTAAATTTATATTCCATCTATTTTCTTTGAACTCCTAGTAGCTTATAACAAACAAATCTAATTCAACTAATGAATCATGAGTAGCACAAGGCTATTCTCTCTGCAATGCAGTCAATGTTGGCCTTTAGTAGAGCTACAATCCTATACCCACTTACTTGGGAGTAATCCGCCCTAAACTCAATAGGACTTACTTCTGAGTAGACATGCATAATGCTATAAGACCCAGGGAAAGCAATGGAACTTAATTTAGTTACAACTAACTAATTCTCATCAACTTGTTTATTTATTTCCAAAAAGGATATCCTTTATGTAACATGATAGCATACAAGAAACTGTTACCAATAACGCTGAAAGGGGGAAAGGCATCATATCGTGCTACTTTTACAGTATTATGAAAAAAAGCCTAATCTTCCACAAGCTTCATGGTCAATTTCCCTCATCCTCAACATATCGTAGATATGACGAAATAGCTTTTAAAGTAGTATTATGGCTTTTATTTTGCAATGATAACACTTCATGGCCTACTCCTGTGCCGCATTAATAGAAACAGTAAAGATAAATTGTACCACAATGATTTCAGCCACACAAGATCCTCCTGCAGGTCATCAGGATAGGAAGATTTAACATCTTTCCCTTCCCTCCGCCTCTCTGAAGAGCTTTATGTGCACTTTGTTCATCTGATGCAGCAGTTTACCAATAAAATCTAAAACTGTTTAGTTAAAAATAGATTCACAGAAGAGAACAACAGATGCTTCTTGGTGTTTCATCCTGTCAATGAAGCCAGGACAAATGTTTTGAATCTGACCATATATTAATCTCTTGATTTATTTCTGAAAACTTAAGAAAAGCTACAAGGATCCGATCAGAGAACCAAAATGTGCAGCGGCTGCTGAAAGTAGCAGCTGCGTGTCTAGTTCCCCAGCCCCACCCAAGTCGGTTATATGAAGGGAGCCTGAAAAAACCCATTGCACGTTGATGCTAGGACATAAATTCTGAAGTACAGAAGCACATATTGACAGCCTTCCATAGCCACACTCCACTGAGTTAAAAAATTCAGGCAGCTTTCTTGATCTACTATGACACATGTACACCTCAAAGATTAGTAGACATGGCATAATACCCAACTTAATGGGATCTGATGCCGATCCTAGAATACTGGGCTGGCAGAAGGCGGTGCGCCGCTTAACCTGGAATCACTTGCCTGATCAGCCATGAGGCAGGAGTACAATCTTATGCATGGTTACCTGGGAGTAAGTGCTACTAAATTCAGCCGAGTTTGTTTCTAACGGCATAGGTTCAGCCTGCTAAAACACACTGAGCTTTAACAAAAGTCCAACCTTTAGCTTTTGATCAGCCATGCTCACCATTTCACAAAAAGGTGTTACCATTTAAACTGCTGACACGAAGCAAGAACCGCAAAGAAAGGAAACAAAAGCAGCCAGCTTCTGTCTATTGCCCACATTCTCCAGTTTCCTCTATGGTGATATGTTACAAACAACAGTAAAAATTGAAAGCCTCGTTATCATCTCATTCGCTTGCCAGAGGCATGAGAACAGAGGCAGTGGTGGGTGGGTGGGGGGATTGTATCTGGTGCTCCAGCAGAGGATGTCATTGTTCCCAAAAAAAAATGCCCCAGAGAGTAATTCCTCCACATTTCCTGTTCCACTGCATCAGTTAGAACTAGGCATAACATCTAGAATGGTCCCTCAAGTTTTCAGCATGATACTTTCATAACACTAGCAAATTACCATCATCATTGGGAGATCAACACAGCTCACTGAAAATGTATTCCATGAAAATGTAGTTCTGGTAGATACTCCTTAAGCAACACAGCAAAAGAAGCATAACGGATATCCAGATTCTGAATACAATGGCTAAACTGGAGCCTGTGTGAGCAAGGGATTCACATTTTATTTTATTTTTTTAGCCCGGATGATAAAAGTTATGTGTGCACAGCAGTTATTTCCCAATGTACACCTTGAGAATTTTTTTCTCAGAAGAGCCTTCCCAAAAACCAGCAACCCCTTTGCACATACAAGGTTTGTAAACATTACATTGATGTCAATATAACTGGTGCAAATACACTGCCATTCATTCTTCCACTGTATTACACCAAAAAACAAACAACTAGTATAAAGGTTATTACCTGACAATTCCCAAACCTTCAAAGGCTCTGTATCATCACTACTTTCAATCAGGTATTTCCTCAGCTCTTGAAGATTGTCTTTGAGGTCAGGATAGTTCTGCCTGGATTTTATGAAACATAAACCAAGTCAATACTACACAACACTTGTAGGAGCTTATAATTTGGTTGGCGTAAAGACCAATGATAAACGTTTGAAAATTGTAGTTTTAATGTTTCTCGTAACCCAGAAGGGGGAACTTATTAATGCTACTGTCCCGCACAACTAAAGTTTAAAGACGGGGTTCAAAGCAAGTTTCAATCGCTGATTACCATTAACCATGGTTAGCAACCATAGGAGCCAACTCCAAATAAATGTCGTACCATATAGGCCAAAGTTGTTGAGCTTTTTGACAAAAACTCCAAATAAATGAAGTCATTAGCTACTTTTGGGGAAAGTCTGATATGAGCTGCCATGTGCCTGGGTTTTCCATGACATTTTAACCAATTCTCGAAAATACTACCCAGGAAATTATGGATGTGTGGCAGCCCTATGTAGCGGAACCAGATAATGGCGCTTTTGTAGGCCAACTGACCTTCCAGTTGGTCACTCCCTTCCATTAGGCATGGGACTTTTAGGCTGCAAATCTTCTCTCTTCCCCTCTCCCAGCCCACAGCTTTACAGTGCAGCAAAGCCACCAGCACATTTGCAGCCCTGCCACATATGGTTGCCAAGGTGGAGGGGGGCAGAAAGGTCGCTGTGCCAGCCTGGAGCTGGCACAGCATTCATAGGCCTGATGCTGTCACACAATGACTGTGAAACCAGCTCAGGAACCGACAGATATGGGCCAGCTCAGCCCCTCCTCACCCTTGGAACACCCTGTTTCAGAGCGTTGTGCTGGCTACTGCTGGCAAGCATTCCAGAGGCACTAACACCTGCCTGTCTGGTGGGTGCAAAAGTGCTGCACCAACGGCAGGAGGCTGGTTTAGCTGGGAGAGCTTGGCTGGTCCCTTCACCCAATTCAGCTAACCCTCCCAAGCCTGGTACAAAGGAATGATCTCCCTTTCTATAGATATTAGGCAGAACTCTTGCATAATTCAAGTTATATCATTATAATTATATAGTTATACAATTATTTATCGTAATATTCAAATCAGATTAAGGAACACTGAAAAACAAAACACCAAGTCAGCTGTAAATCAAATTTGCTCCCCTAAATTTTATATACAACAGATAACAGAGTCACTTATATATCAAAATTGATAATTCCAGTCCAATGCAGGGCCTTTATGTTAGCCCGGCTGAACGTTTTCCCCTCAGCTTTTGTCAGGGGCAGATATTCAAACATCCCCAGAAACAACAGACATTGTGGATGTTTTTGGAATGTGCCGGACATAGTAGAACATATTCTTTTCTACTGCCCATTGTACCACCAGCTACGCAAATGCATGCTATCCCCTTTTTGGGGGTACTCTTCATGGCACAATGAAAATATCAGATTCTATCTGTTTAATATTAACCCGCAAGTAACTGCAAGGGTAGCTGAGTTTTTATCAGTAGTATCTCTGGTGAATGGCACTATTTAGTGGGAAGAAAGTCCAATGAAAATCCTCATTATTACATATTTTTACTTGGCAATTTATTTGTATATATTTTAAAATTTTGTACATAGATGTTTTATGATGGCCTATATTTGTAATGCCTAATAAAGGTTTGGCGAAGTAAGATATTAGGCACCACCAGTATTAAACACCACCAGTAATGGTCTTTAGACATTTGCTGATATCCTTTTTTTGTTTAAGCAGGCTTTCTCTAATACGTGACTCAGCCGTTTATTACTCATTGAGGAAATTTATTTCAACGTCTATATTTGATGTGTTCTATTTTTGTATTTATTTAAAGTATTTTTAATCCACTCTACATCCTAAAAGGCTCCTAGGGCAGTTAGCAAACGTCAGTGATAGTTGTGTAATAAAATATCAAGACATTTTCAGTTTGTGGTTTATTTTCATAAAGGATAAATATGAGCTTGGAATTAATAGGCTACACCCAAAAAAGCCAATAAATGGTGCCTAATTAGCTATAAACGTATCTATTTTTGTTGATTTTCCTTAGTTCTTAATAAAGGATGTTGATTGAGCCATGGCCACTGGACCCTGCATCTTAACCATCCGTTTCCCCATATTAGGTATTTTAGGTATCACACCCAACATTTAGCAAAAATGGCAGCCGTTATCATACAAGGAGCTGATTCTTTACGTTAATGCAAAATGTAAGCCACCCAGAGTGGCTGGGGCAACCTAGTCAGATGGGCGGCATATAAATGATACAACTACTAATAAAAATGAAAATGAGAATGAAAATAGTGTTGTTGTTGCTGTTATGAGTGCAGGTCCTGCTTCTGGAATTGCAGGTTCAAGGTCCCAAGTATTTTATAGGATGTAAAGCAATGCAAACAAATAGAGGAAAACAACAGAATGGGAAGAACCAGAGATCTGTTCAAGAAAATTGGAGATATGAAAGGAACATTTCGTACAAAGATTACCATAATAAAGGACAAAAGTGGTAAGGACCTAACAGAAGCAGAAGACATCAAGAAGAGGTGGCAAGAATACACAGAGGAATTATACCAGAAAGATATGGATGTCTCGTACACCCCAGGTAGTGTGGTTGCTGACCCTGAGCCAGACATCCTGGAGAGTGAAGTCAAATGGGCCTTAGAAAGCACTGCAAATAACAAGGCCAGTGGAAGTGATGGTATTCCAGCTGAACTATTTAAAATTTTAAAAGATGATGCTGTTAAGGTGCTACACTCAATATGCCAGCAAATTTGGAAAACTCAGCAGTGGCCAGAAGATTGGAGAAGATCAGTCTACATCCCAATCCCAAAGAAGGGCAGTGCCAAAGAATGCTCCAACTACCGCACAATTGCACTCATTTCACACGCTAGCAAGGTTATGCTTAAAATTCTACAAGGAAGGCTCAAGCAGTATGTGGATCGAGAACTCCCAGAAGTGCAAGCTGGATTTCTAAGGGGCAGAGGGACCAGAGACCAATTTGCAAACATGCGCTGGATTATGGAGAAAGCTAGAGAGTTCCAGAAAGACATCTACTTCTGCTTCATTGACTATGCAAAAGCCTTTGACTGTGTCGACCACAGCAAACTATGGCAAGTTCTTAAAGAAATGGGAGTGCCTGATCACCTCATCTGTCTCCTGAGAAATCTCTATGTGGGACAAGAAGCTACAGTTAGAACTGGATATGGAACAACTGATTGGTTCAAAATTGGGAAAGGAGTACGACAAGGCTGTATTTTGTCTCCCTGCTTATTTAATTTATATGCAGAATACATCATGCGAAAGGCTGGGCTGGATGAATCCCAAGCTGGAATTAAGATTGCCGGAAGAAATATCAACAACCTCAGATATGCAGATGACACAACCTTGATGGCAGAAAGTGAGGAGGAATTAAAGAACCTTTTAATGAGGGTGAAAGAGGAGAGCGCAAAATATGGTCTGAAGCTCAACATCAAAAAAACGAAGATCATGGCCACTGGTCCCATCACCTCCTGGCAAGTAGAAGGGGAAGAAATGGAGGCAGTGAGAGATTTTACTTTCTTGGGCTCCATGATCACTGCAGATGGTGACAGCAGCCACGAAATTAAAAGACGCCTGCTTCTTGGGAGAAGGGCAATGACAGGCCTAGACAGCATCTTGAGAAGTAGAGACGTCACCTTGTCAACAAAGGTCCGTATAGTTAAAGCCATGGTTTTCCCAGTAGTGATGTATGGAAGTGAGAGCTGGACCATAAAGAAGGCTGATCGCCGAAGAATTGATGCTTTTGAATTGTGGTGCTGGAGAAGACTCTTGAGAGTCCCATGGACTGCAAGAAGATCAAACGCATCCATTCTCAAGGAAATCAGCCCTGAGTGCTCACTGGAAGGACAGATCGTGAAGCTGAGGCTCCAGTACTTTGGCCACCTCATGAGAAGAGAAGACTCCCTGGAGAAGACACTGATGCTGGGAAAGATGGAGGGCACAAGGAGAAGGGGGCGACAGAGGACGAGATGGTTGGATGGTGTTGTCGAGGTTACCGGCATGAGTTTGAGCAAGCTGCGGGAGGTAGTGGAGGACAGGGGTGCCTGGCGTGCTCTGGTCCATGGGGTCACGAAGAGTCGGACACGACTAAACGACTAAACAACAACAACAAAATGGTCTACATCAGGCATGCTCAACTCCTAAGAGATGCAATCTACTCCCACTATAGCTGGCAGTCATCTGGCCTTTGGATTGACCAAAATTGTGGAGCTTTTTTGAGGAAGACTTCACCAAAGTTGTTGAGCTTTCTTTCTTTTATTTTCTTCTTTTCTCCTGGGGGGGGGGGCGCGATCGACCAGGATCACGAGATCGACCAGGGACGCCCCATAATCGATCACAATCACCCAGTTGGGCATGCCTGATGTGATGAAGTGTGGTAGCTTTTGCTTCCACTCAAAAATATGCTATTGTATGAAATAGGGACATGCTGAGCAAAGGTGCAATTTTGTTCTTCCTCATGTTTGTTACTTTCCTCTCTAGGGGATATTTTATGATATATAAAGCATTTACCAGCACAAAAGGTGTTTTATCCCAACTGAAAATAAAAGAGATGTGCTTATGTAAGTAAACAAGCATACTGTTATTATCCTCATATGGTCAAATCACATGCCTTTTTTAAAAGATAAAATATATTTATTTGCACAGCAGGAAAATGTCTATGTGAATCCATTGTTCAACAGAAGCATGATCTTAAAACAATTGCAATATGGACAAAAGTAACATTTCAACATCATTTGCATACATCAAGACATTTGTAACTACCAGTTTAAATTAACTTCATAAAACAGGTAAAATTTCAAAAGATGATTTTTGCAACGGATTTTATTCAAGCACTAAAAACTCAAGTTTATAAAAGCAAGCATGCCAGTATGGAATTATAATTAACATAAACTCACTTTAATGTGTCAAAGAGAAAGCCCTGGACTTCACTTTCCTCATTGGCTCCTTCTGCTGTTACATTATTTGTAGCTAAACAAAACACATGTACAAAAATATGACAATATATTTGCTTTCTAGAACTGATTACAATTACTACTTTTTCTATCAAAGAAACTAACTCACTGCCTAAAATGAGAGGAAGAAAGAAATTAAGACAGGTCCTCAAATAGATGACAAAGGAGGAAGATCAGGTTTGGCATACAGTTAGAAAATAGGAGTTTTCCATTCCATCAACAAAAAAATTACAGTTGTACATTTCTGTATTGATTCTCAACGCCTGTGGCTACTTTTGCCATATCCCACAAAATGCAATCACAACCAGCGGTGTGTGTCAGGAAAACAAATACTGGGTGAATTACTGACCCAATAAGACATTTTCCATTAACTTCAATGGGGCAATGTAGAAGATTACTGCCTTCAAAATTCTAGACACTGCCAAATATTTTGTGATGATAATGTCTCTAGTAATACCACACACCGGAGAAAAATGTACCTTTGGTCTGAGAGTCATCTACCGCTTTGTATTCTGTACTCTTTACTGCAAGTTCCACACCATATCCAGACAAATACATCTTCTCGGAGCTAGGTTTCTGCTCGAGTACATCATTTCGAAAAGAACAGAAGGGAGGAATGTTAAGTACTGCCATTTCTAAATAAGTTCTAAACTTAGATTTACTTGAGAGTAAATCACATTTAAATCTGTTGAACTCCTGAGTAAACATACACAAGATCAGGATTATACTTTACAAATAATTGCCCGTTAAGGCTGCAATCCTATACCCACTTCCCTGATCGCAATCCCCATACAATTCAGAGGGACTTACCGTATTTTTCGCCCTATAGGACACACTTTTCCCCCTCCAAAAATGAAGGGGAAATCTGTGTGCGTCCTATGGGGCGAATACAGGCTTTCGCCGAAGCTTGGAGAGCAAGAGGGGTCGGTGCTCTCCAGGCTTCAGGAAGCTATCCGCAGCCTGGGGAGCCCTGCGGGAGTTCCCGCAGGGCTCCCTAGGCTGCGGATAGCAGCCTGCTGCACGGCGCGCAGGGCGCCCTGAAGCAGAGTGCCCCGCGCGCTGGGCAGACATCGGGCAGCCCCACAAGCTTGGGGGACAGCGGGGAGGCAGAGCGCCGCCATCCTGCTGTTCCCCGACCTGGTTTGGATTCCCCGACCTCATTTGGGGGGGGGGAATAAAGGGGGAAAATTTTTCCTTTATCCCCCCCCCAAAAAAAACTAGGTGCATCCTATAGGCCGGTGCGTCCTATGGGACGAAAAATACGGTAGGTCATATAGCATTGTACTGTGAGTTGTAGCAGGCATTAGACAAGAACTATGGATTTTAATCATTCTGTTTCTAAAATTAATAGATACCTTCTATTGGCAGAGAGCCTTCTCAGTAGTGACACCCATCCTGTGGAATGCCCTCGCATCAGATGTCAAAGAAATAAACAACTAACTGACTTTTAAAAGATATCTGAAGGCAACCCTTTTTTAGGGAAGTTTTTAATGTCTGATGTTTTATTGTGTTTTTAATTTTCTGTTGGGAGCCACCCAGAGTGGCTGGGGAAAACCCAGCCAGATGGGCGGGGTACAAATTATTATTAATATCATTATCATCATCATCATAAAGTTAGGGTCAGATTATTTTTTTGAACTTCGGACACTACACTAATCCATGCACACTTTCTTTGGGACTGCCCCAAAGAGTTTTCATCACCAGCCTAGTTGACTTCAATTAAAAAAACAACAACGACTTCACATCAGAGTTAGGCCTTGTGACTGAATGTCAGGATCCAATTAATGCAATATTAACTTGGAGGATGCTTGATGCGGTATATGCATGTGGTTTGCAGTCTGTGCTTGTACAGCGGAAGAATTCTGACGTACTGTAAAGAACATTCTAGAGGAAAGAAGGGAGGAAGTGCTTCACTAATAGGGCGAACAGATGCAAAAGAAGACAGTAGTTTAATAGCTGTGCAGAAGTGGGAGCTGTAGCAGATGTTTTATAATACGAAAGGCACAGGAGCCCTGTCCTCTTTTGCATCTGGCCACCCACAATGGGAACTTAAAAACAATGGGGGTGAAGGAAAAATAATCATTTTCAATAAAACGCCACCTGTTACTTTCCTTACAACATCCTTTTAGAATGTTTTATCATTTTACTGTTGTTAATAATAATAATAATAATAATAATAATAAATTTTATTTATATCCCGCCCTCCCCAGCCAAAGCTGGGCTCAGGGCGGCTAACAACAATCAAAATAGTCCGACATTCTAAAAACATTCATTATAAAATTAATTAAATCAAATTAAAATCAAATTAATGGCAACCATCAAGCAAAATTCTGTGCAGATTGCTGATTGCCAGAGGAGGGGGTCAGGCTGCGCCCTGACCAAAGGCCTGGTGGAACAGCTCTGTCTTGCAGGCCCTGCGGAAGGATGTCAGGTCCTGCAGGGCCCTAGTCTCTTGTGACAGAGCGTTCCACCAGATTGGAGCCGCGGCCGAGAAAGCCCTGGCTCTAGTTGAGGCTAGCCGCTCTGAGCCCAGCTTTGGCTGGGGAGGGTGGGATATAAATAAAAGTTATTATTATTATTATTATTATTATTATTATTATTATTATTACTAGATATATCAGTTCTCCGGTGGCTGACTGTAGGCTCATCTGAAGCCAGTCATTCTCCTGTTAATTTCAATGTACTGTGTTATATCTGAAGCCTATAGGAAACCCATAAGTCTGGCACAAGGCCAAAAGCCCCAGTGTCCCTCTTTTGTGGCAAACTGTGGCTGAAAAGCTTTGAAACTGACAACAAAGTATGCAACAACGGGGCTTCGTGGACATTTGGAAAGGTTTAAACAAACTTTAATTCAATTGCAGTTCACTATATCCCTTCTGCACACACACTTACCTGGACAAAATGTCGAAGAACGTAAACAATTTCCTCTTTTTGTGCTTGTTCAGACAAAACTTTGTGAAATGTAGCGAAGTCTTTTGTACCCATTTCGGCATAAAGGATCACTACTGGGCCGGTCTCATTAAGCGTAGGGAATTTATGATCTCCTTTGAACAGATATGGCTTGGGCCTTGGATTAAGAACAAATAATTTGTCAACTTAAAAGGAATCACTTAATTTCAGTGTGTCAGAATGGGAGAGACTTCACTGCCTGGTTACTGAACAACTGACAAAAGTATGTAACACAATCCAATACATCTTTACTCAGAAGTAAAACCCACTTTGTCCAATGGGGCTTCCTCTCAGATAAGGAAGTACCATATAGGACAGGCATCCCCAAACTCAGCCCTCCAGCTATTTTGGGACTACAACTCCCATCATCCCTAGCTAACAGGACCAGTGGTCAGGGATGATGGGAACTGTAGTCCCAAAAGAGCTGAAGGGACGAGTTTGGGGATGCCTGATAGAGGATTTCAGACTAAGATAAGGACATCACAGTAGCTAAAACTGGTTGCAGAGCAAGCTAAGTTAGTTTCCAGCTGAAGATGCAACTCAGCATCAGCCATTTTATCAAGACACAGATAAAAAAGCTACACAGCTGCAAGCACAAAATGCTATTTTAATTATCCAGCACATGCAGATTTTTTATTTAGTACCGTTCATGGGATCTATTAGACCAAAGGGAATGCAATCACTAAAGATGACACGGGTAGTTCAAGCTCTAGTTGAATTTATGCTTTGTTTCATGAAAAAGTAGCAATACTCTCACCATGACCAGAAGTCAAAACCATACATGTAGCTTCATGCCATTCTGGTGGAACTTACTCCTATGCAGTGGCATAGCGTGGGTTGTCAGCACCCGGGGCAAGGCAAGTAATTTGCGCCCCCTAACCCGTGGATTTGCGCCCCTAACCCCCAGATGTTGCGCCCGGTGCGGCTGGCCCCCCCTGCACCCCCCACGCTACGCCACTGCTCCTATGTAAGCTACAATCCTATGCATAATGTGTGTGCCTTGTAAACAACAAGAATTTGTTGACTATGAGAATTTAATGACTTTGCAACCCTGTGCCATTTTAAACTATGTGTAGTTTGTTAATCTCACAATTTATGGGCTAATTCTGCTAGCAGGATATCCACAGAGAGCAGAGCAAGGTGGGGGGAACAAGCCACAAGGTTCATTTTCATAGCATGCACACTGCTTCTATCCTACCAAAGTAACTAAAGTTTAAGGGACACTAGGCGTAATGTTCCTTAGAACATGCTGAAGCTCAGCCAAAGAAATCTAGGCATGCATATGCTTTGAAGTCTGTATCAGTTCTCATTATATGTAGGCTGGCAGACAATGGGTTCAAACACCATTGTCTTCAGATCTGGGGAAGGATCAGAAGGGCTGAAATAATGCACCTAATCACTGCAGCCAAAGTAGCCTTCAAATGTTGCAAGCAAGTAGAGAGCCAGAAGCCAGTGCATATCAAGGTCACCTTTTTTGTGTGTGTGCACGTGCAAATGTATATCATGTATATCTATGGATTGCATTCAATATTAGCTCTATTCAGAGGATGGTCACAGAAATTAATGGACATGGCTAAGGTAGGTGCATTGACTGAAATGGTCTACTCTGTGTAGGACTTAGCTGGATATTGTTGGTGGAAAATATATATAGAAAGGTTAATTTCTGGATGCCAAGATCCAAATTTGGGGCAAGTACTCTGCGGTGAGAGAACCCCAGCAGAGATTTAATGTCACAAAATATGCAGCAAAGCAAAGCATAGAAATATAGGCTGTTAGACCTTTAAAAGTGAGTTACAAAATTTCCGTTCCAGCATAGGAATGGACCACACGTTTATAAGTTAAAACTGGTTTACTTACAAACTCTTCAAAGGTTAGGTTCATGTGCTTTTCCAGACATCAGTCAGAAGTTGCACAGGCAGTAAAAGTTAGCTTACAAAGTGGTGAAAGTTCCTAAATTACTGTAAAGGAACTCAGGAGTGGCTGGTGAGAACCATGTGGCTGAGCTGGAACAACCAGCTCAAACCTCTTTACACACAGAGCTTCTCAGGAAGATCTCCTCCCAAGATAAGAGGAAGTGCATTAATTTGACTTATGCATGTTGGTTATATGAGGCTGGTTTCAAACTAGCCTGGTTTTCCATAACGCTTCTGTTAATGTCATATCAGCCACATTCTGTCTCAATGTGTGTGATAATGTGCGTGGTAATCCCACAGGTATAATCCTGTATCCATATAATCTGTGTCAGAACCACACACGTGACCACTTGGGTCAGAGAAAAGTTAGTCGGCTAGTTTGAAAATTGCCAAATTTCATTAGTGGCAGGGAGCAGGCACTAGACAGCCTGGCTAATATTTCTAAATGAGAAGGTGCAATGTGTAGTATCTCATGGTTTTAAAAGCTCCACCAATCTTTAAAAAAGAAAATAATAGCTGTTATGTGGCAATCCCACACAGTTCCATGGGCAGAACTCAACACTCTCTTGCAGAATCAGAGAATCAGAACTCTTGGAGTGTCAGGGGAAGCCACCTGATAGGATGGAGGTGGCAACAGACCAAGAGATGGAGCTGAACTGACATGCACTGCCTGAAATGCAAAATTCATATGGAAGAAGGATTGCAGACAATCACTCTTCCCAGGCGCCTGAGATAAAGCAACAGCTGCAACTCAAAGTGGCATCTTTGACCAACATGTATCATTGAGTCCCAATATCCAGGTACAAAGGTAAATGTGTGCTGCCAAAACAAATAAAAATGTGATGCTGTGGAACAAAAGCTTTAAGAACTGTTCGTTCAAAATAGCTCACTATATTTACCTTGTAGCAGCTTTCTTCAGAAGCTTCCAAATTTCATTAGTCTTACAGGTGCTCTTCCCATGGATAACCACAAATGCACTGCAACCTTTCGGTGGCGGCTCATCAGCTGCAATCTAATATTTCAACAATTACACTCAACCCAGCTGGTGTAATTGCATTTCATCCTAAAAGTAATGCACCTTCCGTTGATTAAAACAGCTCATCAGCTGCTATCACATTGTGCGTCTAAGTACCAAGTATGTGAGGAGAAAATAATGAAAAGATCGGAGCCCTACAAGTAACACCAATGTATCCTGTCTCAGAATGCCTACCGTTAACAGTTATTTGGATGTTTTAGAAATAAATTTTCTTTTTTTATTAAGATAACAGAACACACTTTTTTTTGGAAATAACAGAAGTAAACAGGGAAGCTATCATCTTTTCTCACATTCCCCAACTCCCGTTGAGGTCAAAATACATCATCTTTGGACAGTTTTTATACAAACTTTTGCAGAAACATGTGCCTACTTCACATGACAGAGACACACTTTATTAAACTAGTTTATAAAGTATAAGCTGATTTTATAAAATTGCTGATAGGTGAATTCATAGTTACCATGTCTATTCTCCTACTTCCAAAAATGCCCTCAGAAATACCCACTTCAAGATCAGACTCAGCTTTGGTGTCAACATCAATAGGATACAGCTTTCTTTTTCACATCAGTAAGCGCAAGTTTGCAGCATTTTCTGTTGAGCCAGGTGAGTTGTTTGACCATATTTTGTTTTAACTAACTATAGTTGGGGTGGGGAGAGAGTCTCCCATTTAGACATTACAGGGAATTTGTTAGTTCTAAAGCACATGTGGACAACCTGTAATCTAGGGGGCTGAACTCTGCACACACCCCATTAGTGGGCAGAAATGAAGAAATGAACTGGGACACCATGTGTTTATTATAATACAGAGTCTTCCTGGATCACTCATTGTTGTCTTACACACATAACATTAAGCCAAACCATGGATTACTGCAAATGGGCAGGCTCCCAGAGAGGAGATCATGGAAGCTTTTCTTCTCCAAAGTTGTTTTGCCAATGTACTTAAGCTGTGCTTTGGCTTAGCATGACATCCAAATCCATGCTTGTGGTTTAGCTTTCACATCCAAACCACAAACTCCTAGGTCTTTGTTTGCAGCTTGCAGTTTGTCTTGCAAGAGACTTGGGTCAACACAGCACAATATCATAATGACAAGGAGGAGGAAAGCAGCCATTATGTCCTCTTTGGGAGCCATGGTTTCACTCAGCACTACATGCAAGCCAGGCCACTATCTCTATGGCGTGGGACCGATTTGATGCTTGCTTCTGAGTTCACACTAAACAATATATTGCAGATGGGTTTCACCTGAAGAGGTCATATAGTGTTTCTCTCCAGACCAGTCCTACCAATAGCAACAACACTACTAGGGACTAAGAGCTGCTTTGAAGACCACCACCACTTGGATGCTACTGTAAATCCATCCCTTTCGTCTTTTTTCCCTTCCATGCAGCACTATAGTTCTACAGCAGCTTAGCACGCAGACCATCATGCTACCACAAAACATTTTGGAAGGGAGGGTTGCAGCAGCATGAAGAAAGCGCTCTTAGCCATGCTGCAAGCTGCTGCAAGAGAACGGCTTGCAGTATGACAACAGCCACAATGAGGAGCCATTTTTGAAAGCCCCTCCTTAGCATGTGAACCAAAGCCATATCCAGATTCCTAGCTTGTACCAGCCAATTTTACACACCTGCTGAAACATCTGAATTGTTGGGGAATGTGCTCGTAAGGAAAGAGAAAATTTCAAAAGATTAATCTGCACATTTGAAAGGAATTGTCCGGCTTTCTTCAGGATTAAGTTGTAATAAGAATGCTCCGAGACTGTATTAAAAAAGGAAAAGAAATACAAGTGAGATGTTAACATCTAGTCCCAAATATCACTGAATTACAATTACGTGTTGGCAAATAAAAGTATCTGGAATATAGAACATTGTAGGATTTCAGATTATTGGCCAATTCTAAAATGTTTATTAATACAAAGTACAATTTCTCTAGTTGGGGGGCTACAAATTAAACATAAAACATGCTATTAACTGTCCATCAAAGGGCAGGTATATCGACTTGTGAACTGGTTTCTCTTGCCGATCTGAAAAGAGTGGTGAGGAGTTGAATCATACATCAGAGAGCATTACCGTGTATTAATCACTAATCGTTTTACCAAATAAAATGGCCCAAGCTAAGATAAATGCCTGAAATCCTATGAACTAACAAGCAAAAAGTGCTGTGTTGTTCAATAAGCGAAGAGGAAAATGGAGGAAGACAAGACAGACAGTGCTGTGGAAAAGGAAAAAATAAAGTAGTACTAGTACAGATAAACAAAAGACAGAAAACAGGTTGCTATTCCACTGAGTGGTTATGCATATAATTTTCTTTTAACAAACAGCAATTACGGCTGCCATCCTAACTGAACACCTGGGCAAGTCCCCAAGGACTAAAGATTATAAAGACAACAATTCTGTAACAACCATATTTAATGGCAGCCAGCTTGTGTGGCAGTTTGATTGGGGTTGGGTGGAAATATTTTAATTCACCATAACACGTAAGTATGGAGACAAGAGGACCAGCTGTGGCACCTTGTTCCTTCCTCTTAGTGCTTGGGACAGCGAAAAACTCTCCAGTCCCAGGAGGTGGGGAGTGACTAAGGAGGAACAATGACCTAAAGAGAACAGTATGCAACTCTAGGACTATATCATGATGTGATTCGCACTTAATGTTAAGCTACAGTTTATTAGATCATTTGAACCCATAGCAGCAGCCTAACCATGGTTTATTAAAAATGAACAAACCTCACCTGTAAGCCATGGTGTGCTGCTGGTTTATAAATCTTGATGTGCACTAACCATAGTTTAGAGTTATGCACAAACCTGTACAAAGCAAACATCAGAAGGTGTAGACGCCCCCTTCTGTGGATTTTTTTTTAAAAAAAAATATTTAATGGAAGCCACCATGGGCATTTAAAGGAGGAATATAAATCCCCAAAACAAACAAAATGTTGTGATGTGCCCAAATGACTGGACACAATTAAAATTAGCATGCAATGTTTGATTCACTGCTACATCTAAACTTGAAGAACATTGTTTTAGCTAATTAGTAACTAAGAATCTGAAACTATTGTTTGATTCTTGTTTGTTCTCAGTAGCAAGCGTTTAAACAAATCACTTTTCTCCAAGTTTGAAGGTAATGGGGAACTATGGTTTGTTACAAACAGAAACAAAACCTTCCAGTCGCCTCCTTTGATGTGCTGCAGAAAAGAGCTCTGGGTTATTATAGATACAAAAATGCTGTACCTACACATTTATCAGTAACTTCATGTGGTGAACGGAAAAGAGGATGAACCCGGATATGACATTATGAAATTGCCAAGTGGCAAGGCTCACTCATAAGGCCAAAACCAAGACCCTCCTTCATGCTGCTTCCCCTCCCCACCAACAAATGCTGGGATGCTTAGATCAGAAATCTTTTTTAAAAGATCTCTGATAACTAAGAAGATGATACAGAAATAAATAAGGATGGGGGGGCATGAAAAAGGTTTGGGCAAATATTTTAAAAAGCCATTGCTTATTTATTTATTTACTTACTTACTTACTTACTTACTTACTACATTTACATACCACTTTGTAAGGCATAATCACCTACAGAATCCATGAAAACCACATTAACACCCCTAAAAATTGAGCAACAGCAATTCCAATATCATGATGAATAAGAGAGACTGAAATAAAAATATTCTGAATTTCTTCTTCTTCTTAGAACAGGAGGCCCTACATATCTGCTGAGGAAATAAGTTTCAGAGGTACAGACCCACCACTGAAAAGGACCTGTCCATGCTATCTATCAGTCTAATCAGTGGCTAGGACTGCAAAGTCCAGGTATCAGCCAGGGCAAGGCATCCTACTTTATGCAGTGGATTTTTGGAAGGGAGGATATCATTCTGATTTTCTGCTTCAGGCATCAACATGTCTTGGACTGTCTCAACGTTCTTATTTTAATGTGAAGAAACCAGAAAGTGAATCGCTACTAAGGACAGGTTGCAGAACACACTGTGCATTTAAAGTGACTCTCCAGATGTTGTTGGACTATTTTTCTATAACATATTTTATTGCTTAATATAATCAAATCTCTAAGTAAAAGGTAAAGGTAAAGGTACCCCTGCCCGTACGGGCCAGTCTTGACAGACTCTAGGGTTGTGCGCTCATCTCACTCAAGAGGCCGGGGGCCAGCGCTGTCCGCAGACACTTCCGGGTCACGTGGCCAGCGTGACATCGCTGCTCTGGCGAGCCAGAGCCGCACACGGAAACGCCGTTTACCTTCCCGCTAGTAAGCGGTCCCTATTTATCTACTTGCACCCGGGGGTGCTTTCGAACTGCTAGGTTGGCAGGCGCTGGGACCGAACAACGGGAGCGCACCCCGCCGCGGGGATTCGAACCGCCGACCTTTCGATCGGCAAGCCCTAGGCGCTGAGGCTTTTACCCACAGCACCACCCACGTCCCGTAATCTCTAAGTAGTTTGCATAAAAAAGAATAAAAATTTCCTAAAACACAACTTAAAGGCAAGATTTTTAAAAACCCAAAACCTCCCATCAGCTCCAGCCAGCACCAGTAATAGTCAAGGATGGTGGGTGAGTTGTAAACCAACAACAACTGGAGAGTCCCAAGTTAACCACTCTTGGTTGAAAGCATGCACACTACTAACACTATTACACAGTACAAGTTACAGAAAGGTCTGCCAGTCCAGATACACACAACAAACCCAACTTACCTCCTTTCCTGTATAATGTTAATTCTTTCACCGTTTCCAAAAACTGCCAGAATTGCTCATTGCCTTCTTCTGCAATGAATTCACTGTTAAAAATGTGTGTAATAATTCATCCATTAGTATAGCTCATAAGACACAAACAAACATTTTGAGAAGAAGCCAAAGTGAGCGATCCTATACACAAGCAGCTGGCATATAGCAGGCCCGGCATCAGTTAAGCTGGTGCAAAAATTACACTGGATCCAAACTCTGTCCAGGAACGGAGCTTCTGCTAGCAGAGCCCGCCTAAGCCTGGCAGAGGGGGAACAAGTCTTTAAAATTGTGTTTGAATCACACCATTCTTTTTGCTGGTTTAATTTATCCCAGCCAGGTCAAGCTTTAGTCTCCCTCTCCAGTACTGACCCCACTGTGTCTCTAGAAAACTCATTTTTCAAGGCTTATGCCAGTTTAAGATCCACTGAGCTCAACTCAGTAAGGTGGGATCCAGCTAAGACAGATGGGGGTGATATGTCAGGGTATCTCCAGCTGAGCTAAAGATGAAGAAGCTGAGCAGGTGTAGCCCAGATCCACTGGTAACCTCCCCGCTCAACTAGGGATCTGCTGGATCCTAACCTCACACATCCCAGAAGATGTTGCTATGCCAATTCTCCCTAAGTGTTTGAAAAAGCCTAAGTGATTTAAAGACATAATTTACTTCTCACCCCAAAATTGTAGAAGTCCTTTGGGATCAGTAGAACAACACTACATAGCAAACGTTCTGCAGAATAATAACCCATGTCACCAACCAACAACAAGACATAATCTACATAGCCAGAGCACTGGATCCCCGGAAGTATATTTTGTATTAAGCTGTCAACCTATGAATTAATTGATTTATGATGCCCCTACATGCCCCTTAAGGAAATTTACAAATATATAATAAAAACAGCTTAGACAGATTTTTCTTAAGTCCAAAAACAATTAAAGATAGATTTAAAAACAATGCAGACTGAACAACTAAGGCAGAGATGTTTTCATTCAGTTATATAGCACTTGTTCAAATTAGGCTTGCAGGATGTAATTCTCACTTTACAGACAGGAAACTGAGGTAAAAGCTGCAATCTTAAACATACTTATTGCAGAATAAATCCTGTTAAATTTAGTAGGACTTATTTCTGACTAAACTTACTTAGAATTGCTATGTACATATGACACCCTAGCACACTCAGCAAGTACACCAGTGAAATTATATTTATACAATTAACTCTGAATGACTTTAAAGACATTCAGTCACCCATGAGCTCAGCAGGCAGGCCTGTACTGTAAAAGGGGTGGATGAAAACTGAGTATGATGAGACATGCAAGTTATGTTGCCTCATTCCTCCATACATGTAGCACATACAGCGCAAAATTTTATGGTATTGTACAAGAGGTATATTGAATGTTCATTGCTAAGGAAAACTCTGAATCACATACAATTGGAATTACATGTAAGTTCTGGTGTTGCACAGATTAAACTAGTAAATTTTAACTACATAAATGTATTTTATTTATTTTACTTTTAAATTACGTGATATTCCATACCACCATGGACAATAACTGTGTTACATGATCTAACCATTCTTGCTGTTTCCTAATTGCTCAGAAGTTGTGTATTTTTGCACAAAGTGACTCATTTGCATGTAATGCCACAACAAACCATGGCTTAGCGCAAACGCACAGGTTCCCAAAGAGGAGATACTGCTGTTACACTCCTCAGGGCTGAGTAATAATTTGGCTTAATGTGTCATCCAAACCCAGGTCTATAGTTTGCCTTACTTCAGACATACCATGAGTTGTAAACAAGGATTGTTCTTTGTGATATTTTATACTCCAGACACATTTCTTTTTTTATAGAAACAAAATGGTATAGTGGAGGACATTGTTTACTGCTGTGCAGGTGACAGAGTCCTAGAAGGGCTATGCCTACATTTACTTCTGTGAAAATTCTGCAATGAAAAGTTTGTTTGGGATAGGATTTTGTCTCAGAAAACATGGAGTAACTACTGGATTATTTATTACTAAGACACAACACAAATTCAAATGAATCTATTTTGGGGGTGGCAGGAAAAGGAGCAGGATGCCAAACTGAGGACCACTCATAAACTTAAATAGCAAGCAACATTTCTGGTTTAACATAGCAGAAAATAATGCTATTTAAACACACCAATTCATTTTCTTCTATTTTATGACAGCATAAAAAAGGAGGTGGGAAATTTTTTACATAGTTATATGCAGCGTGCACACAGTGTGGCAACATTGGTCAAATTGCTGGAATATGAAGATCAACCATCCTGAGGTTGTTACTGATGACATGTAGAATTATTTGAAATAAGGTTCCTTCAGTACATCACTTTGGCATGCTATGGCATTGGAACAAGATTCATGGGCATGCCAGATGCAGAAGACCCATACTTGCTTCTTGTTATTTTTGATACTGCTGGATATGTAAGATATCTGACCTCAGTATTTTACCACGTGGCTACACGTTCTTAATGGAGATAGCAATAAGGCAAATGAACTCATACGAGTACTATAAAAGGGCTGGAATGCAGGGGCACTTATTTGGTTTGTGATTACAACTCCAAGACACTTTCTCTGGAACAATCTCCCTAACATGCCATTAAAATCTTTGGGACAGGCCCTTAAATCATTCCATAAACTCCAATGGATTTCAAGGAATCAATTGAAATTCTGGACTTCCATGGACAATTAATGTTACATACATCACAGCATTCAGCTTATGTATATCACAACTTTCCTACAAGTTAGTTCCAAGGCAGCATTCATTGTCCCTCCCTTCTCCTCAAAACAGCCTTGTGAGGTAGGTGAAAGAGTGTGACCTTCAAGGCTGAGTACAGTGGTGCCTCGCAAGACGAAAAGAATCCGTTCTGTGATTCTCTTTGTCTAGCGGTTTTTTCGTCTTGTGAAGCAAGCCCATTGACGGATTAGCGGATTAGCGCTATTAGCGGCTTTTAGCGGCTTATCTGCTGATCGGATCAGCTGATAAGCGGCTTAGAAAAAGGGGGGGAGGGGGAAAAACCAGCAGGAACTCGCAAGACATTGTCGTCTTGCGAAGCAAGCCCATAGGAAATTCGTTTTGCGAAGCACCTCCAAAACGGAAAACTCTTTCGTCTAGCGAGTTTTCCGTCTTGTGAGGCATTCGTCTTGCGGGGCACCACTGTATTTCAGAAGGAGTTTCTCCAGACTTAACCAGCTTGGCACCCTCAAGATATTGCTGGGACTACAACGTACACCAACTCCTGCCAGGTGCACTATCTGGAGCTGATGGTGTCTGCAGTCCAAGGGCACAAGGCTGACAAAGGCTGCTCTAACCACTACACTACACTCCCTGGCACCGGAAGTCTCCACTTCTCCCAATCGGACTGCCCTGAGGTCCTTTTCCCTCGGCGTCCACCAGCCCCAGCCGGGAGAGCTGTGATTCCCAATCCCCACTGAATTCCCACCAGGAGACCTGGTTGGAGGTTGCACAGTCCAGTGCTTCTCAACCTTGGGTACCCCAGCTGTCGCTGGACTACAACTCCCAGCTGTTGCTGGACTACAACTCCCAGCATCCCTCACTCGCAGGGCCAGGAATGATGATTGGAATTGTACCCGACACCTGGGATGCCGAGTTTGTGGAGTGCTGGCTCAACAGGTAGGGCATGAGGGCTGCAGGTTCGAGTCCCATGTTAGGCAAAAGATTCCTCCCCCCCCCCCAATTTTTTTTATTAAGTTTCACAAAATTATACACACACAAACAAACATAAATCATAACCTTATTAAAATTACACTTATTAACATTGTTAAGTGACTTCCTCACTTCCACTTGGTTGAATTTCCATGCATATCCTTATAACGGCTTTCCAAATCTTAATTCTTATAAACTTAATTTAGTCCATTAACATCCTTACATATTTTCAATTCGAAATTGTATGTGTGAAACATCACTTAACTTAAATAAATTCCTAAGCCAATCTGTTGCCTGCAAGCTATTTCCAATTAGTTTAACTTAACACATTTAGCTAAAATAAAAAAATTCCTTCCAGTAGCACCTTAAAGACCAACTAAGTTAGTTCTTGGTATGAGCTTTCGTGTGCATGCACACTTCTTCAGATACACAAACAAACTCGTATCTGAAGAAGTGTGCATGCACACGAAAGCTCATACCAAGAACTAACTTAGTTGGTCTTTAAGGTGCTACTGGAAGGAATTTTTTTATTTTGACTATGGCAGACCAACACGGCTACCTATCTGTAACATTTAGCTAAATAATCGTTAAATTTTGTCCATTCTTCCTTAGGCAAAAGATTCCTGCAGGGCAGAGGGGGTTGGACTAGATGACCCTCGTGGGATGGTGGGAGCGGAGGATTCCAACTCGATCTCCCCACTAAGGGCAGGCGCACCCATGAGGCAAGCAGATCCACAGGGGCAGCAGATCCCGAGGTCAACCTTTCCCCTTAGTCTCCTTGTTCCTGACGCGGGTCATCCCTCGCCCCCTTTCGGAGGTGCGCCTCAGCTGCCCTCGCTTTCCCTCAGCTGACCCCTCAAGCAACCCTCTCTCTCGCCCCCTCACCTGGCCTCCAGCAGCAACGGCGTCGCCGGCCACTTCGCCGCCAGCCGGGCGGCCACCGCCTTCCTCGGGGCGCTCTCGGCGCCGCGCGGCCACAAGCCGAGCACCAGCACCCCGGCCACCAGCACCGGCACCCCGGCCACCTTCCTCGCCATGGCCCGCTTCGCCCGCGTCGCCAGAATCCCCTCAGAGCGGCTGCCACGCACAGGCGGCGGCCCGACAGCGGGCTCCGCCCCCCGGCCCTGCCACCCCGTCCAATCGCTGCGCTGCCTCAAGTCCAGGCCCCGCCCGCTTCTTTCCCGTAGGATCGCGGCCCCGCTCTTCCCATTGGTCCGCGGGAAAGCGCCAATCGGAGACGAACGCAACAGCCGCCGGAGTAGGAGGGGGCGGGGCCTGGAGGGAGGGGGCGGGGCCGGCCGAACGAGAACCGTTATAAGATGAAACAAAAAAAATTCCTTCCAGTAGCACCTTAAAGACCAACTAAGTTAGTTCTTGGTATGAGCTTTCGTGTGCATGCACACTTCTTGCACACGAAAGCTCATACCAAGAACTAACTTAGTTGGTCTTTAAGGTGCTACTGGAAGGAATTTTTTTTGTTTTGACTATGGCAGACCAACACGGCTACCCATCTGTAACTGGAACGTTATAAGATGCTGAGCTTCCCCGACGCGATGGCCCGCAACCCTCGCGGCGCAGATCCGCGTTAGTGGTAGTGCGGCCGTATTGTTGCCAAAAATTTTTTTTTATTGATTTTCACAACATTGTAAACAAACAAGCACATAGAGCAAACAAACATAAATCATAACCTTATTAAAAATTACACTTATTAACATTGTTTAGTGACTTCCTCGCTTCCCCTTGGTTGAATTTCACTGCATGTCCTTTTAACAGTTTTCCAAATCATAGTTCTTAAAATAATTTAACTTAAACATTAACATCTTTAGATCTTCACATTATGAAATTAAACCTATTAATTCATCACTTAACTTAAAGAAAATCCTAAACCAATTAAGTATCTGCAAGCTGTTTTCAGTTAATTTAACTTAACATGTTTACGGACGTATTGTTGTCGATGGATCCGTAGTACATTGGTGATAGGTTGGGGACCTGATGCAGAAAGCAAAGCGTGTTTGGTACTTCAAGCCCCTCTCAGCTGTGCCTGTAAAGCGCAGCTGGAGGTGGTGAGATTAGAACCTCCTTCTTTCTTCATCTTTGGCGATCCCTCGTAGCCGAGTGTCTTCCATGAACACGGTCTTAACAGTGAGCCCGTAAGTGGCTGTGGAGGCCAGTTCTGGATCCACACAGTGGGGACATAAGTTTCCGGCAGGGAGTTGATCACTGTGAGGGTTTGCCAAACATGCCTCCCTCTTAGCGCGTTTCTCCCTTTCATCCTGAGTTTGAGCATCTTCAAAGTCTATGACAGCTTTGGTAAAGAGTGTTCTCCAATTGGAGCGCTCACAGGCCAGTGTTTCCCAGTTGTCAGTGTTTATACTACAGTGGTACCTCAGGTTACATATGCTTCCCGTAACAGTCGCTTCAGGTTACAGACTCCTCTAACCCAGAAATAGTACCTGGGGTTAAGAACTTTGCTTCAGGATGAGAACAGAAATTGTGCAGCAGTGGAGCGGCGGCAGCAGGAGGTACCTCAGGTTAAGAACAGTTTCAGGTTAAGAACAGACCTCCAGAATGAATTAAGTTCTTAACCCGAGGTACCACTGTACTTCTTTAGATTTGCCTTGAGAGAGAGTCTTTGAACCTCTTTTGTTGGCCACCATCGTTACGCTTTCCATTTTCAAGTTCAAAATAGAGTAGTTGCTTTGGAAGACGATAATCAGGCATCCTCACAACATGACTAGTCCAACAAAGTTGATGTTGAAGAATCATTGCTTCAACACTGGTGATCTTTGCTTCTTCCAGTATACTGGCAATATTTCGCCTGCCTTCCCAAGTGACATGTAAAAATTTTCAGAGACACCATTGATGGAATCTTTCAATGAGTTAGAGATGGCATTTATAAGTGATCCATTTTGCATGTGGCCCCCAAATCACTAGAATCATAGGGTTAGAAGGGATTCTGAGGGTCATCTAATCTAGCGCTTTGCAATGTAGGAATCTCAGTTTGAAACCATACCAGACCCTGCTTAGCATTGCAATTGTGCAAGCAGTTTTATTACTGCACCATATGATGCCCAATATCGCTACCTCTTAACTTTATGTTTTAACCGATTACTGCTGAGTTTACATTTAAGTAAACGTGCTGCTTTGTCCACCCCACCCAGCTGTACAGCTTTGGATAAATAACAGTGGCTTCTTTACACAGCACTGAAAAGTAAAGCTGTCATTCGTCGTCCGCTCATTTACTTATAAGTAAGCCATTCTGAACCCAGTAGGAATCACTTCTCAGTAAGCAGCTCTGATTGTAATATGAAGTGGCGTACATACAATAAGTAGTACTACATACTACTCCATCTGCATCTATTTGCTAATACGGTATTTCATGAATTTAGGACTGAACTCAGTGGGAGAGCTCTGACTGGATTTCCCACTTCCCTCATCAAAAAAATAGACGGGGAGGGAAGATTCACACTTTCCTCTGCACCAGCTTCCAAATATGTTTCCCTATCCAAGCTGATGTTTGCTGTGGAGGGGGAATGTCCAGGCACCATACTATAGAATTTGAATCTAGACCTGAAGCATACCTTCCCTTTTTGCCTGGGTGCTTGACAAAATGCATTCAGCAATGCATGCTGAATTCTGAAATTATTAGTATGTGAGCATTTGGGAAGGAGCTGTAAAATAGCAAAAATGTGTGTGAAATCTGAGAGTCTATATTTATTTATCATGTGTGTGAGATATTTTTGTGTATGTGTGTGTACAGTGGTACCTCATGTTACGTACCGTCCCCCTTATGAATGCTGCAGGTTACATGCTCCACAAACCTGGAAGTAGATGCCCCTTGTTGCGACCTTTGCCCTGGGATGCAAGCAGAAGTCGTGCTCCGGTGGCGCAGCAGCAGTGGGAGGCGCCATTAGCAAAAGTGCGCCTCATGTTATGAGAGGTTTCCTGTTACGAACAGACCTCCGGAATGGATTAAGTACGTAACACGAGGTACCACTGTATGTGTATCACATCCACAATTTGGGCAAGGTAGGCTAATATGCCAAGTGTAGTTTGCACAATCCTATTTCTATGTATGTTGACTCAGAATCCCCCCCCGCCTTTGTGTCCATAGTCACTGTGTTTAGGACTGCAGCTTGAAGCAAACGTCTACATTTTGAGTGTAGGAAACTGGCTCTGGTGAAGCTATGAAGTTTTGTATAGCATATCAGTAATATTTAGACAAATAATGTACAACAGTGGCAAGGAAACCAAGAAACAAAATTAAGTGTATATATATGAATTGAATCTAATAGTCCTTGAACAGTTGCCGCCCAGTCAATATCATCATTCAGGTAGTAAACTTTAGCGGAACACTGTGTCATATTCTCAACTCTGGAAGCTATTAATTTTCTTCTGCTTCCTAACACGTTAAAGTAATTTTAATGATGATAAAGGTCCTACTACTACTAATAAATAATGACATGTTCAAATTGGGCACTTTTGATCTGTTTGAGACGTCTTGTACGAATTGTATGTAGTACGTTTTGTGTGGATTAGTATATTTTGTAGTTTTGTAAACTAGCAAACAAGGAAGGTACATCTAAAAGAGAGTTTCCACTGTACAGGATGGTATAGTCCCAGTCACGCCCCCCCCCCACATGGCACAGAAGACGCATGAGCAAGAGTTTGCATTGCCTTCCCACTTACCCAGGATGTCTGCTCCACCTCTGATGCCACTACCCACATGCAGAAAGACATAACATTTGAACAGTACCTACACATTTAAAATCAGAAGTACATAGGCTCAGATTGTATGGCTGATTCTGCGTCTTACCTGAAAAACCAACTGTGTGATCTGAGTGTATGCATGCTGTAGTTTTTGCATGTGGGTCATGTCTGTGGTTGGTGGCATTGCAGGCAGATGTACTGGGTGGGATAGGAAAACAGGTACAATACTTGCCCTTTTTATTACTCACATAATAAATGGAAGTAAATGGGGCTCTGTCATCTGATCTGACCCAATTTTTGGCTTCCTGTTTCACCCAAACCAGAAACTGTGGATTTAAGCTAATAGCCAAATGCTCTAGCTTAACTGGTTGATGGATTGCAGCTGAAAAATATTTTGGCAGAATAATACAATTAAAGAAACGTTTTAAAACCGGTTGCACAACAGACAATCACGGGGATAAAAAATTATTGCTAAAGCTATTTCTGTGTTCAGAAGACATGATTAATGAAGGAGTCTTAATAAGGTCCAACCACTTAGTATAAATCATAGTGGCTGCAGTATACTTAATGGTAAGGGTTACATTAAAGGGAAATAAAGCTGAAGCTTTATCAGCATCTGTGGTAAAAAGAAAACTTTATTTGTGAAAGCAGATTTTAACATATGAGGGAGGAGGACACCAAGATAACCCTGATCTTCAGCCAAATACTAGCACATCAGACAGGTACAGGAAAAAACTGCGACATGCCGCACAATCCTATGCTAGTCTAAGTGTTAATGAGTTAAATGAGATGTACACCCCACATGGGCATAGCCAAGGGGGGCAGGGAGGGGCAGCTGCCCCCCAATCAATAAAAATCAATATAAATAGATAACTGAGACCTGCCCCCCCAGCAAAAATCCTGGCTATGCCCATAATGTCCCACATCACTAATGGTGCTCTCATACATTTCTCCAATGAATATAGGGACGTCCGTGGGAAAAGCGGGACATTCTGGGATCAAATCAGAATCCAGGACTGCTTCTGTAAATCCAGGGCTGTCCCTGGAAAATAGGGACACTTGGAGGTCTGTGCTCTGCTCCACCTACAGGGAGGATCCTGCATGTTATCTTAATCATCCTTTCCCACATGCCATCAACATCAGAGGTCAGGTTATGCTCTTAGTTGATTATTTTAATTCACTATTCACTATGCAGTTATCAAAACAAAAACCGTGGCCAGCAGATATACACCTCATCCATAAACGACATTTACAAAGAAAAAGCATCCATTAATTTCAGTGCAATTTGCTTCCAAACAAGGAGCTTAAAAGAATAGCCTATTGATATAAATGGGACTTACTTTTAGAGAAATATGTTTGCAATTTGGATGTTAATCCAAAACTCTCAGCTTAAATGGC